GTTTCCTTCTCACTGTGGCAGGAGCTGCGGGGAACTGCTTCTGATAGACAATGCTGTTCATTTTGCTGGACTGGCTGTTCGGACTTGTGGAAGTAGCCCTTGGAAAGAAGCCATCAACACTGGTCAGTTTAGTAGTGTGTCAAGTAAATAATGCTGGTAAGATTTTTACAGGTACTGTTTTTAGTATTTTCATACTTCATAGCTGAAAATCTACCAAAGTCAAGTTACCAAAAACTACAGTAGGAAAGAGACACAGAGGTAAAAAAGGACACTGGCTAGATATGCCATGTAGTAAAGAATCTTCTTACAACACAATATCATGAATGTATTATTAACCACTTAAAAATTAGTATTTCAGCTAAAACTCTCAGAATGAATGTTTTATTGACTCCGTTCCTGCTTTACACAGGACTGGTACCATATTAGTATTTAAAAGACAAATGGTGATCAATTATTTTGAAATTTCATAAGCATATTTTAATGCCGATTTTACCGGAAGGGACTAGATGTTGGTGTGGTGCTTCTACCGCCGATTGGAGGTGTGCCTGGCTTTATATCAATGCCACTTCCAAAGGCTTTAAGTTCCATTTCAGACATCTGGGAAAAGGAATACAATAAACGTAACAATCTCTTCTATTCCATAAGCTAGGTTCTGTATTCAATGTCTTATGTATAAAGGATTAATCTAGAAAAGGGCAAAGAACTGTAGTACAAAAACTTTCTAGTTAGATTTTAAATATCACAGAACTATCAGGCCAAACAAGCTTATAACTAAGCAAGGCTAAAAAGCTCCACAAATCCCAACTCTTTCACAAAATTTGGTCAATTCTTTGTTGTTAGATAAAAACCACAGGGGGAGAGAGAACACACTGAAAGTAAACAGATTTTAAAGAAAGTATACTTGTGTTTGAGATTTTCTCCAGGGAGCTAAAAACTGATTCATGCTGTTTCTGTAGACAATGCAAATGCGTGTATCTGAACACATGACTTTAAATTCTCAAACAAGCTGTACACATTGCTCTTTACTTACTTTTCCTGTGGTCGCAATCATGCTATGCTGCGTTCCAGCTGGGATTAATCCTCTGAAAGGCTGGCTCACTTGTGCAGGACGGCTCAGACTGGGAGCCTGTGCTTGTGGGGTGGTATGCTGTAATGGCGGCTGAAGAGTCTGAGGCAAAGCAATTAAAGGCTGTCCTGTAGATCCAAAATTCGGTAAAGGAAGCTGGGATGCTGGTAAAGGTACTGTAACCTGGAAAACAAGAAAACCATTAACTGCAGCAATTCGTCTACAGCCCTTGCATACATATCCCTCAACTCTACCAAAACTGCTCAAGTACTGTTCAGTAAGATTTTAAATAGAATATATCCAGCTATTAATACATCTCACATATGAATCTTTTGCTTAGAGATTATCTCCAGTGTTTTAAATTAAAGGAAAAACAACAAAGTGCTACTTAGAGCAGAAAAACTATGAAAATATTTAACTATGCAATTACATAATTATGACTCTCTGAATTTACCAGGTCCAATAAAATACCACAAAATACATAGGAACACAATTTAAATATTCCCCCAGTAGATATTTTAATAGTGTTTTCAGTTTCAGTCAAAATGAGTTTTGAGAAAAGAAAAATAACCTTTTCATACAAACACCAAATTTAATATGAATGTCAATGTACTATTACTAATGACTAAAGGCTTGTCTTTCTCCCTCTATTCTCTACTGCCTTTTAAGAGTCTTGGGACCAGCAGTTAGTGTAATGGCTATGTTGCTCAACTCCCATGTAGCTGACTGTGGTTCGAGTCCGGACCCAGTGGCTTAAACTCACGCTGGGCGTGTGTGTGGGCATGTGTGTGCGCGTGCCCAAGATCCCAAGAGGAGAATGGAGGAGAAGGGACTGCGGTGTGGACATCCTCCTGGGGGTGGGGGTGGGGGTGATTTCTCTGTTTTTGCCTTTCTGTCAAGTGTATGTGCCCTATAGCAAAAACGTCTCCCCCCCCCAAAAAAAAGTCCTAATCTCATAAGCAACTATATATTCCGAACAATGGTTTTTAAACTTTTATGTTTATGATATCCTTTGTTAAAATGAAATAAAATACTATACGGAAAGTCAGTTTAAAGAAGGAAAAAAAGGGGGGGGGTAAAAACTGCTGATTAAGTAGGTAAGGGTGGTGAGGAGAGGAGACTGAAATATCTTTCACCCTTAGCGGACACAACGGAATTTCGAGAACATCTCAGTAAAGTCTGAAAACCACTTTTGCATCTTCCTCATCTTGGTTCTATTTAAATTCCCAAACAACAACAGCAATAAAAATAATAATAAAGAAAATTAAGGAAATTTACCATGCCATAGTTTACCTGCTGGAGAGCACTTGGTGACTGGGCAGTGTTATAAAAATTTGTCTGACCAGGCTGTTGTACTTGTCCAGAATAAATATTTGAAGCCTGGGTAAGATTTGCTCTAGCCTAGAAAGAAATTTATAGGGAAACAGAAATGAGAACAAAAATTTTTTAGTAAGATTGAAAAAAGAAATGAAGATATGACTTCAAAGCAATCTCTAGCAATTTCCATAGTAAACAGAAAGCTCTTCATTTCTTTGTTGTGTCTTTTAGCATCTTTTCTTTAAAAAAAAGTCTCCTAGCCTAGCTGCAGGGAGACAACAGTAACATCTATTCCACCGTGCTGGAGCAAGATGGAAGATGGGCTTTGCTTTTTGGTCAACTGTACATGCCAAGAACGAATTTATGATTCTGGTTAGCTAGGACAGACTGAAGGAAGTGGGATGGGTATGCGGAGATCTTCTAAAGGTACTTGTTTTTCCCTCTTTCTCAAAGGAAATAAACTTAAAACAAAACCAAAAGCATTTCCTTAAAATAATCTGCTGCATAGAAATACAATGACTGTGTATCACTGCAGCCCACTGCAGCCCATCTTACCTGGAGAAGATGTGTATCAATCAGCTGGGAACCACTGAGCCCTGATGCTTGACCCAGCTGATGTTCATATAATATAGGAATAGGCTGAGTATTTGAAGTTTGCTGAAAGGCAAGACCCGATTGTGCTTTGGCAAGTTCCTGGTGTTGGACAGCTGGAAAGTTGTGGATAGCAGTACCAGAAAGGACCACCGAAGGCTGGGATAAACTGCTTTGCATAAAGGCTGGCTGAGATCTGTGTCAGCATTGAAGAGAAAAAGCTTGTATTAGAAGTTAATTTTATCCAGAATCTGAAAATCTTAAGAATGAGTATCCCAAACAACCAAGTTTGCTAGTCAGCACAGAAATCAAGGGACCAGCAGTTAGCATAATGGCTATGTCGCTGGAATCCCACATAGTTGACCGTGGTTCGAGTCCTGGACCAGGTGGCTTAAACTCATGCCAGGTGTGTGTGTGTGCGTGTCCAAGATCCCGAGAGGAGAAGGGACTGCGGTGTGGCCATCCCCCTGGGGGGGTGATTTCTTGCTTTCTGTCTCTTTCTGTCGAGCGTACGCGCCCTGTAGCAAAAACCTCTCTAAAAAAAGAAAAGAAAGAAATCAAGAGAAGAAGCAGAGAATATAGATCGTGTCTAAGGCAACTTAATACAAGTTTTAGAGCTGTGTATACAATGAAGTTCCACATATGAAAGTTCTGGGCAAAACCTTGTTCTCCCTGTGCAGCTGCTTTGTTCTTCTTGAACAGTGAAATAGTTATCTTTGTATTATCACAACTAAAGTTGGAACCAAAATAATTTTTCTCTTGGGTGACACTCAAACTTATGAAAGCAATAACCTTGACTTGTCATCATCTGCATTTTATTACTTCCTTATATACCATATATAAAGATATATATAGCCACAAGACCTCAATGAACTCAAGCAGCAGTAGCTCACATTAGCATTTCCCACAAAGGCTTTTAAAAAAAAATACAGTGCTATAAATCTGACCCCAGACTGCCCTATCATCTCTCGATGTAAGCTTACAGTCTATACTTTTGAGATAAATAAACGTTATGTACGTAAAAATGAATATAATGAACTGAAGTAACATTCTGATGAAAAAACTTGATGCTTTGTCAAAACTGACTTATGTGGCAGGAACAAAAGCCATGAAGCAGGAGCACTAGTCAGGATCATGAGTAATCCTCACAATACCTACTTAAAATTTATGCTTCATGGGACCAGCAGTTAGCATAATGGCTATGTCGCTGGACTCCCACGTAGTCGACCGCAATTCGTGTCCTGGACCCCGTGGCTTAAACTCACACCGGGCACGTGTGCGTACGTGCCCAAGATCCCAAGAGGAGAACAGAGGAGAAGGGATTGAGGCGTGGCCATCCCCCCTGGGGGGTTATTTCTCGCTTTCTGTCTCTGTCTGTCTGGCGAGCGCACGTGCCCTATAGCAAAAACCTCTCAAAAAACAAAACAAAACAAAACAAAAAAAACCAAAAACAAACAAAAACACACACACACACACAAAACAATGAGAAAATGCAAATACACTATTAGAACCATCTCAAGAAACTCCCACCCCCCAGTCAATAAACATAATGCCGATTCAGTTATGGAGAAAGCAAGGAGTGCTGAGAGATACTGCTTTCAAAATCTAAACCTGTGCCTTCTAATACAGTAGTCGCTAGCTATAATTACATGTGTGTTTTACAGTCCTGGTTATTTTTTTGTTTGTTTTTGCTGTTTCAATTTGCCAGAGAGTGTGTGATCACTAGAGAGAAAAAGAGAAAACACATCCCTGTAAGAAATGTTATACCATGATCTCTTCTCCTCTATCTTTCTCTCCTTTTAGGATTTTGGGTATGTACACATGTGTAACTGGCATGTTTCCAAGCTTCTGGGTCCAGGACTTGAACCTTGTGATCAGCCATGGGGGACTTAGCTGCCTTAACCACCAGGCCACAAGGTGATCCAGACCTGGTTTTAAGTGTACATCTTTTAAGACAATTTGTAAAATGGGGATTACAAATGTCAGTGCACTGCTTCTCCAACTCCCGTAGCTATTCATCACTGTTCTATTTTTCAGAGGTAGAAACTGTTTGCAAGCTTTTCAACAGTTTTTCAAGCACCACTGTTTAATTAAAAGGAGACTAGCTTGGGACAGCCATGGTGGCACAGTGAGGGCATCACTGCAGTGTCTGAGACTACAAGGAAGGCCTGGTTCAGCCGCCAGCCTGACCTAAACTGGCCAGACGTGGTGGCCCAAGCCTGTAACCTTAGCTAACTGAGAGCCTGGTGTAAGAGGACCATGGTGGCAAGACTCTATCAAATAGCTCAATCTCTCTCTCATACTAAAAACCAGGGAGAACGGGGCCAGCAGGTGGCAGGAACAAAAGCCATGAAGCAGGAGCGCTAGTCAGGATCACGAGTAATCCTCACAATTGATTGAGGAGCTGGACTCCCACATAGATGACTATAGTTGAGTCCTGGAACTGGTGTCTAGCTATCTCTCTCTCTTTTCTGAACTTCTCTAGTGAGCACATGTGCCCTATAGCAAACTAAAAAAAATATTTTTTTTAAAGAGAGACTGGCTTGTGATATTAAATCTATTTGAATTCTGGATTTAACATTTTTTAAGCTGTATTTTTAATATACACTCCAAGATAATTCAAAAGAGACTACCACTAACTTCTAATTGAAGTTAAACAGTTTTTATTCTTTTGGGAGAGAATTTCTTGAAATAACTGGGGGGAAAAATGACCAATTAAAAACAGGAGATTAAAAAAAATAAGTAATGGCACAGATATATTAAATTATTCTGAGGGGGGGGTGATGTAGTGGTTAGACTCTGGATTCCCACATGGCCAACCATAGTTTGAGTCCCGGACCCAGCGGCTTGCTTTCTCATCCCTTTTTCTTGCTATCTTTCTGTTTCTCTCTAGTCAAATTAAAATGACACATAAAATAAATCAATAATTCTTTTAAAAATGTCTTCTGAGGAATCTTCAACCAAAAAAAGGAAAAAATTATGAGCCACTTTTATCAAGTTTTACTAACAATTCTGCTCTCTCATGAGGAAGTTCATGGTTTTCTTTTGCAGTATCATTTTATAGTAATCTAAAAGAAATGAGTTACATCGACTGATGCCGAGTTTAATCTATAATGTACATATTCTCTAAATGAAATACTTCTAAACACAAAAGAAAACAAATTCCAAATTCCTAAAAGCAAATGCATAGCTATTCAGCCTTCCTAAACTGAAGGTCCTGAATGTAATTTCTTTTTCTCTGTGACAAGTTGGGGCTATTCCCATGAACATGGATGACAGCTATGTCAAGCTACACAGCTCCTAGCATCTGCCTCTTACCCACACACTTCCGCTCTCATTAAGTAGACACCAGAGACACCTGTGGCTTAATCCAGTCTCTGACACTTATTTATAGCATAACCTTAGGTAAAAACCCAGCCTTTTCAAATCCTAATTTCCTCATATGTCAAATGAGGCCGACTTAATTTACATTATATGGTGTGTGAAGACTAGATTAAGTAAGTTAATACATGCAAAGGGCTGAATGGCAATTTTATACATATATATGTGTGTGTGTGTATATTTATGTATATGAAGTTCAATATGGATTATCTTTCATTATTTTGCCAATTGAATGAGAAACAAGAAAATCTTTGCCCATGCTTTGCCATTCTGCTGCTCTCTTCTATCATATGCCACACTGCCCTCTGCCCAACACACTGCAGTTATTTACGAGGCCTTAGCTCTTGCATGAAAGTGACCTGAACATAGTTGTTAACAGCCAGATGGGACGTAACCTTTTAGATTCTTGAGCAGCTATTTTCTGATTTTTAATTGTTATGGGACTACTTTTATTCACTTCTTCAAGAAGCATTGATGCCTGACTTTAAGAGAGTCTGGTTTGGGGCCAGCAGGTGGCATGGTGGTTAAGGGCGATGGACTACCACATGGCCAACTACAGTTTGAGTCCTGGACCTGGCAGCTTGCTTTCTCACTTTCCCTTTGTCTCTCACTGTGTCCCTCCCTGGTCAAATTAAAATAAAATTAATTAAGTAAGTTAAATAAAATAATTTGAAAAAATGTTGGGGGGGGGAGTCTGGTTTAAATTACCAGAGGATGAGGTTTAAGACATATAATTAACATGCTTAGTTATTTAATGTAGTTCATTACATGCCTCCTAGCTTTTGGGGGGAAGGAAGGAGTAGGAATTATGGTTTTCAACAGTTTTTCAAGCACCACTGTTTAATTAAAAGGAGACTAGCTTGGGACAGCCATGGTGGCACAGTGAGGGCATCACTGCAGTGTCTGAGACTACAAGGAAGGCCTGGTTCAGCCGCCAGCCTGACCTAAACTGGCCAGACGTGGTGGCCCAAGCCTGTAACCTTAGCTAACTGAGAGCCTGGTGTAAGAGGACCATGGTGGCAAGACTCTATCAAATAGCTCAATCTCTCTCTCATACTAAAAACCAGGGAGAACGGGGCCAGCAGGTGGCAGGAACAAAAGCCATGAAGCAGGAGCGCTAGTCAGGATCACGAGTAATCCTCACAATTGATTGAGGAGCTGGACTCCCACATAGATGACTATAGTTGAGTCCTGGAACTGGTGTCTAGCTATCTCTCTCTCTTTTCTGAACTTCTCTAGTGAGCACATGTGCCCTATAGCAAACTAAAAAAAATATTTTTTTTAAAGAGAGACTGGCTTGTGATATTAAATCTATTTGAATTCTGGATTTAACATTTTTTAAGCTGTATTTTTAATATACACTCCAAGATAATTCAAAAGAGACTACCACTAACTTCTAATTGAAGTTAAACAGTTTTTATTCTTTTGGGAGAGAATTTCTTGAAATAACTGGGGGGAAAAATGACCAATTAAAAACAGGAGATTAAAAAAAATAAGTAATGGCACAGATATATTAAATTATTCTGAGGGGGGGGTGATGTAGTGGTTAGACTCTGGATTCCCACATGGCCAACCATAGTTTGAGTCCCGGACCCAGCGGCTTGCTTTCTCATCCCTTTTTCTTGCTATCTTTCTGTTTCTCTCTAGTCAAATTAAAATGACACATAAAATAAATCAATAATTCTTTTAAAAATGTCTTCTGAGGAATCTTCAACCAAAAAAAGGAAAAAATTATGAGCCACTTTTATCAAGTTTTACTAACAATTCTGCTCTCTCATGAGGAAGTTCATGGTTTTCTTTTGCAGTATCATTTTATAGTAATCTAAAAGAAATGAGTTACATCGACTGATGCCGAGTTTAATCTATAATGTACATATTCTCTAAATGAAATACTTCTAAACACAAAAGAAAACAAATTCCAAATTCCTAAAAGCAAATGCATAGCTATTCAGCCTTCCTAAACTGAAGGTCCTGAATGTAATTTCTTTTTCTCTGTGACAAGTTGGGGCTATTCCCATGAACATGGATGACAGCTATGTCAAGCTACACAGCTCCTAGCATCTGCCTCTTACCCACACACTTCCGCTCTCATTAAGTAGACACCAGAGACACCTGTGGCTTAATCCAGTCTCTGACACTTATTTATAGCATAACCTTAGGTAAAAACCCAGCCTTTTCAAATCCTAATTTCCTCATATGTCAAATGAGGCCGACTTAATTTACATTATATGGTGTGTGAAGACTAGATTAAGTAAGTTAATACATGCAAAGGGCTGAATGGCAATTTTATACATATATATGTGTGTGTGTGTATATTTATGTATATGAAGTTCAATATGGATTATCTTTCATTATTTTGCCAATTGAATGAGAAACAAGAAAATCTTTGCCCATGCTTTGCCATTCTGCTGCTCTCTTCTATCATATGCCACACTGCCCTCTGCCCAACACACTGCAGTTATTTACGAGGCCTTAGCTCTTGCATGAAAGTGACCTGAACATAGTTGTTAACAGCCAGATGGGACGTAACCTTTTAGATTCTTGAGCAGCTATTTTCTGATTTTTAATTGTTATGGGACTACTTTTATTCACTTCTTCAAGAAGCATTGATGCCTGACTTTAAGAGAGTCTGGTTTGGGGCCAGCAGGTGGCATGGTGGTTAAGGGCGATGGACTACCACATGGCCAACTACAGTTTGAGTCCTGGACCTGGCAGCTTGCTTTCTCACTTTCCCTTTGTCTCTCACTGTGTCCCTCCCTGGTCAAATTAAAATAAAATTAATTAAGTAAGTTAAATAAAATAATTTGAAAAAATGTTGGGGGGGGGAGTCTGGTTTAAATTACCAGAGGATGAGGTTTAAGACATATAATTAACATGCTTAGTTATTTAATGTAGTTCATTACATGCCTCCTAGCTTTTGGGGGGAAGGAAGGAGTAGGAATTATGGAAAGGTTGTTTTCAACAAGACAACTTAACTTCTAAAGCATTTACCTATACGGTTGAAGTGAAGAACTGAATAGCTCCTGAGCCTGGGAAACAGCAGGCCCAGCTCCCAAACTCAACTGGGCTTGATGCTGCCCTTGCAGTGGTGCATAAATAGGGATTGGAATCTGCTGGACTGAAGTTGGCTGCAATGCAATGAAAAAAGGTACATAAACATTATATATCAAACATATCATAACACCTGGGAAAATAAAATGTTGAGACATAGAATCAAAGTAATATCATGTTACCAATTCTCTTTTAAAACAAAACTAAAGGCAAACATTAAAATTTTCCTTCCAACCTGGACTTACTCCTTGTGGACAACCATTGAGCTCTGATAAATTTAGCAAGTTTTATAGCTTATCAAAGTAATTGTAATTATTAATTTCAGTCTATTACCTGTACTCCATCCAGGATGACTATTACAACCACAAAAATGCCAAGAAACAGAAGTGGAATGAAGAACAACTGGATATTTACCTGTGAGAGCCCTGGCTGAAAGCCCTGTTGCTGAGCCAAGGACGGTGGGCCCAATCGTGCATGCTGGGTATTGAATAGATGACTTGTGTCCATATAGAAAGCTGGTATTTGAGCTATAGACCACCAGGAAAAACAAGCAGCAGAGTCTCAATTTCAGAATTTTCCAAATAGTAAATAAAACCCAACTTTATAGTAGACTGAAAATTAAGTAAGCCCTTTGAAAATAGTTGTGGATAGAAATGTGGAAAGACCCAAAACATCTAGACAGGTACATATAAGGTAAAACACATCTAGACAGGTACATATAAGGTAAAACAATGTATCTAGTACTTGTGAAGTATAGAAAATAAACATTCTCATATACTGCCAATGAGGTACATATTGGTAAAATTTCACATAATCTACTAAAATGAAAAATGAACCTATCAAAACAGCAAATCCAATCCAATTTTAAATCAGCCAAAAATAATACTTAAAAGTGTTTTGGTATGGATCTTTAACAAATTTCTTTCCTGTGTATGATACATACTAATTTTACATGCATAATGACACTTCTGATCAATAATAGACTATATTTACAACTAAGTATATTAGATAATAATTATATGCATTATATAATAGCCTGAAAAATTCTGGTTGCCTAGTGATGTAGCACCATTATGTATTACTCATGTTTATGGTGATGCTGGTGAAAACAAACCAGAGCTCTCAGCACATACAATTTTGTACAGTACATAGTACTTGATGATCGACGACTATGTTACTCTATTTATTCACTGTACTTGCCGTTAGAGCGCACTCCTTTTCTAACTAAAAAAAAGTCTTGCTGTAAAACAATATGTGGAGTTACAGAAGCAGCAGCATCACCACGGACCTCTTGCTTAATGTCTCTTGATTGTATCATTTGTTCTTATACTTGGTTTCTTTTCAGTTTGTTTTGTTCATCATGGCTCTTCCAGTGAGACAAGATGTGGAGGTGGAAGAGAATGATATTGATGTTCACAATCTAATCTAAGCCTATGTTAATGGGTATGCTTATGCCTTAGTTTAACAAAAAAGTTTAAAAAGTAGAGAAGTTTAAAAAACAAAAATAGAAAAAAATCTTACAGAGTCAAGAAGTTTAAAAATGGAGCCAGCAGATGGTGAGACGGTTAAGAGGCTGGACTCCCATGTGGTGGTCTATAGTTCAGGTAACAGATACACTGGCTTAAAAATCATGGCAGGCACATGTGTGAACCTGCCCAAACCCTAAGAGAAGAATGGAGGACAAGGGAATGCTATGTGGCCATTCCCCACCAGAGGGTGATTTCTCACTTTTCCTCTCTGTTTCTCTCCAGCAAGCACACGTGCCCTCCTGCAAAAATCTAAATTAAGGGAAGAAAAAAAAGGAGGGGGGGAGGGACAAAAAAAGCAGCACCTTAAAAACAAATGTAAGAGACTAGCACATGGTGTAATGATTACATTAATGGACCAGTCAACCGCTGTTCGAGTCCTAGACCCAGCGGCTTAAAACTCATGCTGGGCACGTATGCCTGTGTGCCCAAAATCCGAAGAAACTGGAGGAGAAGGGATTGTGGTGTGGCTAACCCCCCTGCCGCCCAAGGGGTGATTTTTCGCTTTCTATCTCTCCAGGGAGCGCAGGCATCCTATAGCAAAAATCTCTTACAAAAAAAAAAAACAACAACAACAACAACAAAAACAGCCAACAAAAAAGCTAATGTAGATGTTTATAAAGTATAAAAGTTACCATAAGCTGCCCCTGCCTGATGGCACAATTTGTAGCTACCTAAAGTACAGTGCTGAAAGCCACATGGATGCCTAGATTGGCCTGAAAGGTGTTATGTGCGTATGTGCATGCTTAAGATACTAGAATGCTAGAGAGCTGAGGAAAGGGGTTTGTGGTATTTTGAGACCATGCCGAGGATGTCTCTTTCTTTCTCTAGGTGTACGTGCAAATGCTCTCCACTATGAACTTAAAAAAAAAAAAAAAAAGAAAAACTTAAAAATAAGTACACTACAATTAAGTTATTATTAAAGAAAGTTTTTTTTTTTAGCTTAGTATAGCCTAAGTGTATGGTATTTTTAAAAGTTGGGATCAGCAGTTAGCATAATGGCTATGTCGCTGAACCCCCATGTATCTGACCACGGTTCGGGTTCCGGACCTGGTGGCTCAAATTCACGCCAGGCATGTGCGTGTGTGTCCAAGATTATGAGAGGAGAATGGAGGAGAAGGGACTGCAGTGTGGCCATTCCCCCGGGGGGTGATTTCTCGCTTTCTGTCTCTCTGTCTCTGTCTGTCTGTCTGGCGAACACACTCGCCCTATAGCAAAAAAAATTTTAAAAAGTCAACAACTGGGGCCAGTAGATGGCATAGCGGTTATGTCGCTGGACTGCCGTGGGCAACAATGGTTTGCGTCCTGGACCTGGTGGCTTCAAAATCACACTGGGTGGGGACCAGCAGTTACCGTGATTGCTATGTCGCTTGACTCCCAAGAGGAGAATGGAGGAGAAGGGATTGCGGCATGGCCATCCCCCCTGGGGGGTGATTTCCTGCTTTCTGTCTCTGTCTGGCGAACACACTCGCCCTATAGCAAAAAAAATTTTAAAAAGTCAACAACTGGGGCCAGTAGATGGCATAGCGGTTATGTCGCTGGACTGCCGTGGGCAACAATGGTTTGCGTCCTGGACCTGGTGGCTTCAAAATCACACTGGGTGCATGTGTATGCCTGCCCAAGATCCTGGAAGCAAATGGAGGAAAAGGGGTTGTGGCATGGCATTCCCCCCTGGGAGGTGATTTCTCATGTTCTGCACCCTAAGGCAAAAAACTCTTTAAAACAAAAAGTCAACAACAGTGTGCAGTACTGTCCTAGGCTTTCACATTCACTCACCAACTCACCCGGACAACTTCCAGTCCTGAAAGCACCATTCACAGGTACTGACCTATATACAGGTGGACCACTTCTTTTTTTATCTTTGCATACTGTGTTTTTATTCTACCCCTTTCATGTCATATATATTTTGATAAACAGATACTCAACCATTGTGTCACACGTGCCTAAACATGCTGTACAGGTTTGCAGTCCAGGAGTAATAGGCTATACCAAATGTTAGGTTGTCAGTCAAGTCATGACATATTTTTCTGTTTTTATATGCAAGAATGAGTCAAGACTTTACAGAAAACCCAATAGCTTAGATGCGAAGTAGGCAATAGCATCTAGGCTTGTGCAAGTTGTACCATGACATTTACCTAACGACAAAATCTCCAACTATGCATTTCTCAGAATACATGCCAGTAGTTAAGCAATACATAACTACAGTATGTTCTGGAGAACTCCCGTATTGCTTTTAATTTGTCACTATTATCAACAAAAATGCAATGAACACCCCCACATACACATTATCTTGAAATTGTTACTACAGTGACTATTCTCACATTAATTTCTTAAGACATTTTTCAAAAAGATTTACACTAATTCATACACTAACAGCAATGTCTTTTAAGAATTTATTAAAAATACTGTCCATTATTTTTGTAGATACTAGATACTAACAGATGTTAGGTATGAAAAACAAGCAACAGCTTCACTGTTCTTTTTTTAATTTAAATTATTAATCAAATTGTTATTTCTCATGTTTCCAAATAACATTGTGACATTTAGTAGGTCAAGATTCTCTACCCCACTACACATTTCTTTTCTTCTTTGCTATTTTTTAAAAAAATGTTGCCAGGGGAGGTATATGCTGTCACAAGAAAGCTACAGAGAGAGGGAGGGAGAAAGTGAGAAAGTATTAAATATTTACAATGCAATCTCTTCTGCATTTCTCCCTCCCTTCAGGATCTTGGGCTCACATGCACACACACCTGACGTGTTTCTCAAGCCGCCAGGTCATGCCATGCCACCAGCTGGCCATCTTTGGTATTTTTTATGTTTACTCTTAAAGAACTTTATCAACTGTCAATTTAAAATAAAACATTTTGTAATGTGACTGAGTACATAAAATACATACTTTGTAAATTATCAGAAACGAATTTTTCATATATATATATATATATATATATACACACACACACACACACACACACACACAAATAAAATAATGGACAATAATATATGTAAGAAACAACTGCCAAGAGCCCTAGAACTCTTATCCAGAATGGAGAATTCAATTCTATTATTATGAGACATATGCAGATCAAAACACTTTTATCATAAAAGGTTAACAGAGAAAAAACATTTTTAAAAGTCTGAATTTTCCAAATTTCTTATATTCAATCCTAGAAATATTACCTGCTGCCGACTGAGACACGTACACTTGTGGACTCTGCTGTTGCTGTGCAATGAGGGAAGGCATGCAGCTGAGCTGAGAAAAGTGACTCGCAGAAGGCAGGCTGCTTGTTTGTAATTGCTGGGGTTTCACTTTACAAATATTAGGAGGATCTGATGTGGTTGTAGATTTTGTGCTCAAAGAAGAGGTAGTATATGTACCCGCTCCTATATTTGGGGGAAGGATAAAATAAGGAAAAAATATAGCATATTCAGAAGTCCTGCTGCTGTTGACAGTACCAACTGGAAACTAGAAAATTATGCACTTATATACTGCCTCAGGCCAAAGGTAGACATGAAGTGGTTTACAAAAGGAACACTTATCAAATTCAAGTGTGACTATAAAAATTCTGAAAATGTACGTAACAGAATATTAAAATACAAAATTTATAAAAGGCTGCAAGCCCACATGTTATGGGTTAATCTTCAGCTACTGTTTTACTACAAGGAAAAAATTATAATTAACAGCTTCACTCATTTATGTTGAAACACTGATATGAGAGGTCCTCAAAAAGTTTGTAGAAAACAGAAAATACAAGATTATTTTGGTATAGAAAAACTCTGAAATCCACATAGTTTTCCACATATGTATTTTCTAAGAACTCTCTGAAAGCCTCATAAGAACATGAACACAATGCTGCACCTTAGGAATAATTATGAATGTAGAAGGACCTTAAGAAGTCTCGATTATTCCTAAAAAGCCAAATAAATTTAGATTTCTTTTTTTTTTTAAATAAAGTATTTTTTTATTATAGGTGCTCATGCTCAGAGAGACTGAGACAGACAGAAAGCAAGAAATCACCCCCCCCAGGGTGATGGTCACACTGCAGTCACTTCTCCATTCTCCTCTCAGGATTTTAGGCACACCCGCACACACACCTGGCATGAGTTTTAAGCCACTGGGTCTGAGACTTGAACTCCAGTTGACTACATGGTAGTCCAGCAATGTAACCATTATGCCATCTGCTGGTCCCCATAAATCGAGATTTCTTTCTCTCCTCCAAAAACTGGTATATAGTAAAATCGAAGCCAAACTACTTAATAAATAAGAATCAGGGACCAGCAGTTGGCACAATGGCTATGTCACTGGACTCCCATGTAGCCAACCGTGGTTCGAGTCCTGGACCCGGTGGCATAAACTCACACCGGATGTGTGTGTGTACGTGCCCAAGATCCTAAGAGGAGAATGAAGAAGGGATTGTGGCATGGCCATACCTCTGGAGGGGTGATTTCTTGCTTTCTGCTACTCTCTGTCTTTCTGGCGAGTGCACACACCCTATGGCAAAAACCTTTCAAAAAAATAATAATAATAATAAATAAGAATTAAAAACTTACATCTGGAAGTTAGTTCCATTGATCACAGAGAAATGATAATAGCAATACTAGAGCAAATTGACAATAATATATATATATTTTTAAAGTGGAAAATAGGGCCAGCAGGTAGCATACTGGTTAAGGTGGCTGGATCCCACATGGTCAGCCCCATAGTTTGAGTCCCAGACATGGCAGCTTGAAAAATAAGCCAGGCGTGTGTAAATATGTGCCCAAAATCCTGAAAGGAGATTGAAGACAGGATTACAGCACGGCCATTCCCTCAAGGAGGAATGAGTACATGTACCCCTATAATACACATAAAAAAAAAAAAAGAAAGAAAGAAAAGGAATATCTTCAGGCTTAGATGAGGCTCTAACCTGAGAACAGACCAAGATTCAGGTAACTTTTCTACACTTGAAATTTTAATGCAAGTTATTACAATAACTAACCTACGTTACCAAAGAAAGTCAATTCTGCACTGGATGTATTCTATATATACTAGGAAGGGCATTTCGCTGCTTTGGAAACATCAGAGAATACTGGGAAAACTTGTAATGAAATTTGTTTTCAACAGAAGAAACATGGTTTGCACATATGATAAAGGAGAAAACACATTTCCAGAGTAAAGCGTTTTAGAAACATTTCTGTGATTCTTGAAGAGGTGTTACACCTCTGAATGAATAATTCAATGAGAAAGATTGTAGAAAAGTGAAAATTAAGTAAACAGTAACAAAAGCACCTTCTAATTTTGTGCACTGATGGACTCACCTTCAAAAGAACAACAAAAAAAAACAAAACAAACCAAAATCTCACACACACACACACACACACCCAAATGTGAAGTTTACTGTTCAAATACCAGAGGCTAGAAATTCTTTACCCCTAACTCTACATTAGAAAACTTATTGGGAACAGCAGATGGCATAATGGTTACGTTGCTGGACTCTCACACATCTGACCGCAGTTTGAGTCTTGGTGGCTTAAAACTCAAGCTGGGTGCATGTGCATGTGTGCCCAAAATCCAGGAGATGGATTATGGTGTAGCCATTCCCCGGGGGGGCTGATTTCTCACTCCCTGTCTGTCTCTGTCTGTCCTGTGAGCTCATGTGCCCTGTAGCAAAAATCTCTTTTTTAAAAAAATTTTTAGGGATCAGCAGTTAGCGTAATGGCTATGTCACTGAACTCCCATATAGCCCACTGTGGTTCAAGTCCTGGATCTGGTGGCTTCAACTCACGCTGGGCGTCATGTGCATGCGTGCCCAAGATCCCGAGAGGTGAATGGAGGAGAAGGGATTGCGGCATGGCCATCTCCTCTGGGGGGGTGGGGGGGTGATTTCTCGCTTTCTATCTCTCTGTCTTTCTGGCAAGCGCACGCACCCTATAGCAAAAACCTCTCTAAAAAATTTTTTTCTTAAAAAGAGAAAGAAAACATATTAAGTTACCTCGATAGGTTTAGGCCAATAGCTCTTTCAATTAGATATAAACTGCAAAACACTGAAAAGTTACGTAATTCTGTATTATTTCCGAACTGTTCTAGTTAGTTGTAGATAGGTTTAAAAATTTTAATAGTAAGGTGAACTTCATAGAAAAATTGAGAGAAAAAAATTTTTCCACTAATTATTTCAGTATCTTTAATCTATTTTGGAAGGAGAGGGTTGTCTGAGTAAGCCATCAATATCTCTCAATATCAATATCAATACTTGACACACTAATATTGAGAAAAGGCAAAAATGAGGGAAGGGGTAAAAGCAGCAAGAAAGTTTTATTACCAAACTGTTGATAATTATCTCACATACAGCTTTAAATCTTTTGTAAATAATAATACATTTTGGAAAGGTACAAAGATCTACCTGATAGTGATGTTGTAGGAGTGACTGAAGCAACAGGTATCTGAGGCATCGATGCACTTGAGAACGAGTTGTAATTAGCAGTGCTTGGTCCACTGGCACTACTGCTGCCTCCACCTGCAATTGGAGGTGCCGTAGAAGTCACCGGAGACCCCTTTTCCCTTAGGTTTGGAGAATTCTCCCATGCCTTGCGTGCAGACTCCATCTGCAATAAATCGGACATTTTTAAAGCAAATCACTTATGTTAATACAGAGCTAATACACATATGTACACCTATGTATACATACATATGCACCAATCTTTAAATTCCAAAAATAAGTGTTCCAAAACCACAAACGTAAGACATTAAGACACTAGGGCTTTTAAAGCTTTTGCTTGCCCTTTTATTTTTGCTCTTTACTCAAATGGGAAGACAATGGGGTTTAATAATGTTTCTACAGAAAACTTTGTTGATGGCTTTGAGAAAGAGGTTAGCGAACTATAGTCACAGTGGCTGAATCATGTACACATGAGCCTACTTCTCCAGTGAATGAAAAAAGAAACCAACATGCCCCTTCAGCACTGTCTTAAGGCTCTGCCTTTAGGAGGAAAGGTACTCAGCAATACCAATTCCCTCCATATTTTGTTTTTAAAGCAATGCTTCTTGGATGGCAGCTATCTTTGAGTGGGCTGTTTCGTGTTCACAACGTTCTGTTTTAATTTTGCTATAGTGTGTGTGCCCTTGTGAGAGAAACAGAGGGAAAGTGCGAAAGCACTCTACAGAGGGGATGGCCATGTTGTAATCCCTTCTCTTCTGATCTCCTCTTGGGGTTTTGGGCATGCATGCACACATGCCTGGTATGTTTCCCAAACTACTGGGTCCAGGACTCGAACCACAGAGCCAGCCATGTAAGATTTAGTCAACTTAACCACCGTGCCATTGGCTAACCCTCATAGCATATTAAAAGGCAATGTAATTAGATGGGTTTTAGGTAGCATAAGTGCATAAGCACTTCCTGTTTCACATCCAGACCTCATCAAGTATTTTGGGTACTGCCTGTGCTATTTACACTGGTAGCCCCTGCTTTTAGCTCTAGTCTCCTAGTATCTTAAATGGCAAGCACAGGTCTTATTTCAATCTATCTATAGGCGGCACTGCTGCATAGACATAAATGTGGGCCACGAATACAATCTTAGGTATTCTGGCAGTCACATTTTCAAACATTTTTAGGTAATATTAGCTTTGTTAACAGATTTCATTCAATCCAATTCATCTAAAGTATCATAACTGAAATAGTAACTGGCATAAAACTTAAGCTATTTTACTCATTTAATACTAAAATTTCAGAGGTAGCACGTATGTTATTTTACATTTACAATGTACTTCAATTTAGACGAGCCATATTTTAAGTGCTAAATAATGACATGTAGATAGTGGATGCTAAATGGAAAGAACAGATGTAGATCATCAACTATCCCGAGAACACTTTAACAAGAAGGGAACAGACTCGGAGATGTCCCAGTTTTCAGTACTACCAGTGAAAATACTGGACCAAGAGGAAAACCGAAGATAACCTACAGATCTAGTTGTGAGGGTTTACATGAGGCTATTTTTAAAAAGTTTTGCCAGAGGATGTGTGCGCACGCCAGAGACAGAAAGAGGGAAAAAGAACCCTCATAGGGAATGGTTATGCAACAATCTCTTGTCCACCATTTCTCCATCCCACGATTTGGGGCATACATGCACATGCACCTAGTGTGTCTCTCAAGCTGCTGAGTCTAGGACTGAAATTGTGCAGGTGGCCAACTGCCTTAACCACCAGGTCACTGACAGCCTTACATGGATGGGGGTCTACACGAGGCTACTTTTTACAAGGAACATTTTTAATACCCTGGTTAGGAAGTTTGTAGGTTCATGAAGTACCAATTTAAACTAGTTTAATTAGAAGAATTTGAGAAATAGTACATAGTTTGCTCTGCCTCCCCTTAAAAACACATATTACTTATAATTTAATCTATTCTTAGTGACTTAATTATTGTCATGGTACAATGAAAATATAGGGTATTTTAATATTTGAGAACTTTCATTTTTCTCATAATTGCCTTGCTGATTTCAAACAAGTTTTATTATAAAACAAAAGTCTGGGGGTGACTTGGGTTGAGAGCACATCAATCATCGATCTATAGCTAATGATCCTTGGGTAATACATAAGCCACATGTATTTGGCTTCATTTCTTAATGAGCAAGAAAAATTTAAGTTTCTATTTCTGGAAATTTAAGAAACTAAAAGTACAATTACTTAACTATACTTTTTCCCTTGGTAAATAGTGGCTGATAATATGCATCATTTTCTATACTGGCTTAAAAATAAAGATGACATTATATGTTCATATGTAAAATTAATTATTGCATTGAACAATATAATGATAAAGACCATCTAGGTTATAAGACAAACTAAAGAGTACAGATTGAGATGGTTATTTAAGGAGGAAAACACCAGCAAAGGCTGAAAGGAACTGGCAATAAAAGGTAAGGAATGGGTAAAGACAGGGCTAACATAAATCAAAGGTTTTGGTCTTAATAAAATTATATAATCTCAAACATATTTATTAAACCTCTTAAGAAGACATGGGGGGTGTGTGTGAGGAGACAAGTGATTAGGAGGATGGGAATTTAAGGAGAAAGAATCCAGAAATGAACACTGTCAAACACGTCATCCTCTCTCACCTCCACGGCCATCAAAGAGATTCATGGTTGACCAGTGCAATATTAGGAAACCATGCAATCACAGAGGTTAAATATCTGCCAGATTATGGATTAAGAGCACCAATGAGATAATTATGTTTTAATTTTTGTTTTCTATTTTTCATTTTTTAGAGATAGAGAGAGACTTTTGCTATAGGGCGCATTTTAAGTCATCGGGCCCAGGACTCAAACCATCGTCAACTAAGTAGGAGTCCGGCGATGTAAACATTATACCATCTGTTGGTCCCATGTTTGTTTGTTTGTTTGTTTGTTTTTTTTGAAGAGGTTTTCGCTATAGGGCGCGTGTACTCGCCAGACAGACAGAGAGAGACATAGAGACAGAAAGCGAGAAATCACCCCCCAGGGGGGATGGTCACGCCGCAATCCCTTCTCCTCCATTCTCTCGGGATCTTGGGCATGCACGCACACGCGCCCGGCGTGAGTTTTAAGCCACTGGGTCCGGGACGTGAACCAAGGTCGACTACGTGGGGAGTCCAGCAACATAGCCATTACGCCAACTGCTGGTTCCCCCATGTTTGTATTTTTGAAACACTGACTATTCCTGTGGTTAACTCATTTAACAGAGGTCCAAATTATAAATACATTAGGAGATTAAAAAAAAAAAAAAGTCAAAAATTGACAGTAAAAGGTGCTAAAAATCTCTTTTGACCTCTTAAAAACTGTCCCCCCCAAAATCATAATCTCCTGATGTTGGTTTTAAAGCATACTGTATTTATTAATTATCTTCTGATAAAAGACTCTAATAACTACATCACATCCATTCAATTCACATATGACTTACAGAATAGGAAGAAAACAGGCACTCTTATATAATCAGCACTTAGAACTTAGGTAGCATGCCATTAAAAAAAAAAAAAAAACAGAATATCAAGCTGGTTTTTCTTATCCAACTAACGTATCTAGAAAGTCTGCATTTTAAAATAGAAGTCACAAGAAAAACAAGGCTCATTTTAAATGCGAGGACAGTAAGTCACTGTGATGTGGTGTAAGAAGGTAGTAAAATTTTAAGGTAAAATTTGACATCATTCTATTTTCAGCTTAATAGTGATGCTCACCACAAAAAAAAAAAAAAAAAAAAAATCTGGCAAACACACCAAAAGAGTTACGACCCCTTGCATGCAGCAGTTCAGGACCCTCAGGGATGGGTGTCGTACATACCTTGAAGGTGAGGCTGAAAGTAGTGGGAGGAACTGAAGTTAGGCTGGAGCTCTGCGGTACAGTCTCCCTCTTAGGGAGGGGAAGAGTGTTGGGCAAGGGCACCTGAAAAGGCAGGCAACATACATCACAATCTAACTAACTGAGTCTGTGGCAGAAGTCCCATTTAGAAATAATACCAAATACTCTGAAGGCGGTGTTTAGTTTTCATCAGAGCCAACAGAAATATCTGATTAGAGTTACAGTCTGTTTGTAACATCTTAGATAAAGCTTTTCTGAAAAGTTAGAAAAGTGAAAAAATAAGAAATTAATCTCTTTCCTTCAATACAGTCAACTGTTTAATAACTAGATTCAAGAACAAAACTGATCTTGGGAAGAAAGTATGAAATATTACCCCCACCTCATTATACTAAGCAAATTACTTTTCTATACTAATGAAATGACTATGGCAACTACTGTTAGAAGCTTGAAGATACTAGAAACTCATTACCCACTATCTCTTTTTTTACTTTAAGTTTCTGAATCATGGGATTTTATTAAACTACTGCTATACATTTATTTTTGATGGTTCACTCAGTTGTTCAAGCAAGTGATGGGGATGCTTGGGGGTTTTAAGGTAATCACTGTGGTGCTATGAACTACCTAACGATTTGTAAAATCATGAACTACTTAACAGAGATTCTTTAATAATATTAAAAGTAGCTATGTGACAATAATAATAATAATAATAATAAAGCACCTGCATTTATATCTTTAAGACATTTAATAAACAAAACAACTGTAATATTGGGTAATGTTAGCCAACAAATACCAGTTCAAATTATAAAAAAGCATATCACGTATCAGTGAGAGAAATAAGCCTTAGGTATAATTCTTAAAATACTCAAGTTCTACCGTATAAAATATAACGTCTGAACATACTAATGAAAGAAGAACATGACAAAATGTTATAAAAATTTTCCCATGTAGGACATTTGTCTTTTTAAAAAAAATTTATGCATTTGTTTATTTTTAAATGACGGAGAGAGGTAGAGAGAAAAAGAGAGAGAGGCATTTTTGAGAGCCTAAGGACATCTGTTGTTACCACGACATTAAGTTTAGAATAACCAGCAGGCTCAGCACAAGGAGGCAATGCTGCACGACCATTCCAAACTGAGAGTCATTTATAATCCTCCCTGACCCAGATGAATCTTTCTGCTTCCCAATACACCCGGACACATGCTAGCAATCATGGATACTGTCCATGTACCTATGAAACTGAGTCTCTTCCTTTCAGTAGTTATCAGCACAGAAACCACTACATTAATTAGTGTTAATTACAGATCACAGGGACCAGCAGCTGGACTCCCATGAGGTTGACAGTGGTTCGAGTATCAGGCCCGGTGGCTTAAACTCACACACAGTGGCTTAAACTCACACCAGGCGTGTATGCATGGGTGTCCACGATCCTGAGAAGAGAACTGAGGAGAAGGGATTGCGGTGTGCCCATCCCCCCAGGGGGTGATTTCTCACTTTCTGTCTCTCTGGCGAGTGCCCTATAGCAAAAACCTGCCTCCAAAACAAAAGAAAACAAAAGAACAGATCACAGAGAAAGCATAGAAATGCTCATCTGGACATTTTCAGCTACTTTTAAGGGTTCTGAGAATAATGACCTTTTCTTGTTATTCATATTTCATAAATTATGTTTTCAGGAAGTAGCCTGGCAAAAGCATCACATACTTTCTTAAAAAAGAATCATTCAAAATTTTATACATATATGTATATATACACATATGTAAAATGGTTTATGCTATAGGACACATGTACTTGCCAGAGAGAGAGAGAGGGATGGAGAAAGTAGGAGGGAAAGTGAGAAACCATCCCACAGGGGAGATGGCTATGCTACAATCTCTTCTGTCCTACTCTCCTCCTTAGATCTCGGGCATGCATGCAAACGTGCCTGGCACTGATTTTCAAACCACTGGGTCTGGGACTCAAATCACAGTCAGCCATGTGGGAGTCCAGTGACGTAACCACTACACCATCTGCTGATGCCAATTTCCTATTATTTTTATTTATTTATTTTTTGGAGAGGTTTTTCGCTATAGGGTGTGGGCGCTCGCCAGACAGAAAGCGAGAAATCACCCCCCAGGGGGGATGGCCACGCCGCAATTCCTTCTCCTCCATTCTCCTCTCAGGATCTTGGGCACGCACGCACACGCGCCTGGTGTGAGTTTAAGCTGCTGGGTCCGGGACTCGAACCACGGTCGACTACATGGGAGTCCAGAGACATAGCCATTATGCTAACTGCTGGTCACTCCTATTATTTTTAATAATAAACCAAGGCACCACAAATAAAGAACAAATAGACCTTACTAGACTACTGATTCAATATTTTGATACTCTAGATAGTGACATCAACAAAAACTGAAAGGTTCTCCTTCTCAAGTTTTCCATTATTTCCTATAAGAGGTACAGAAAGTGAAAAAAATTTTAAATCACCTCAGGTTGGAGCGGGAAGGTGTGGCACACACATGAAGTGAAGGATCGTAACATGAGAGAAAGACAAATTACACTCATCAGCTACTAGAGAGCTCTCATAACCAAGAGAAGTATGTGACTGACTCCTTTCTACCCATTTTCCTCACCTATATTAAGAGTTCTTTGGTTGGACAACAACAACAAAGGCATTAAGTGCAATTCAGTTCAACTTTCTGAAATTCCAAACAAGGGAACTTCTTGGAAAATTCATGCATTCTTTTTAATATGCATTTCTGTGAACTTTTCAAAATGCACCTCCCCACACCCCGTACACTTAATGCTAGAGGGAAGAAGTGAAACTATACGGGGAGAAAAATGTAAAAAAAAGGCAAAAGTCACACATTCTACACAACAGTTAAAAGGACTTTGTGAGAGACCTTCAAATATTTATCTACAAGGGATTATTTTGAAATGAATCATCAACATTTTAGTGATAAGTTTTACTTATTAAACAGGGCTATTTAAAAAAAAAAAAAAAAAAAAGAGCAGCTGGGCCAACAGGTGGCATGGTGGTTAAGGTACTGGACACTCCCACATGGCTGACCACAGTTCAAGTCCTGGACCTGATGGCTTGCCTTCTCACTTTCCTTCACTGTGTGTGCCTATCTTTTTCCCTGGTCAAATGAAAATAAATGAATAAATAAATAAAATTAAATTAAATAATCCCCCCCCTCAAAAAAAAGAGTGCAACTAACCAAATTCCACCACATCTGCCCTCCAGAACAAGGACCATAAAAGTAACTTCTTGAGGAGCCAGGTGCACTGGTTATGTGCCAATATATTCCCAGCTACTTGAGAGGCTGGGGCAGGAAGATCATGAGTCTGAGTACAGCCTGGATGGACAACCTAGTGAGATCATGTAAAATCGCTCTGTGAGATCATGGCAAGGCACTCAATGTTTCCTGGGCTTACAGTTACTCATCTGATAGAGAGCTAAGCAAAATGATGGACTGTACTTTTAACACAATCTTGAATTATAACATGGGTGCTCTGGGACACTAGGGTCTAATAAGATTTCTCATCACAGTACAGTAGTGCATTTAAGAATTTTTAAAGTAGTTATGTAGCTCAATCTTAACAGTAAGAATGTTAAGGTCAAGAATAGTAACAAAATATTCTAAAAGAAATACTTGACTCTTTGTAAGCGTTATGTTTTAATTCTCATTCTAATTGTTTTAGAAGACTGAAGTCTAACTGGATCACGAAAAGACTACAGTTAAAAAATAGTATCACTAGGTCAGAAGGTGGCACGGTGGTTTAAGATAATAGATTCCCCAGGAACCAGCAGTTAGCGTAATGGCTATGTCGCTGGACCCCCACGTAGTCAACCATGGTTCGCGTCCTGGACCCGGTGGCTTAAAACTCACACCGGGCACGTGTGCGTGCGTGCCCAAGATCCCAAGAGGAGAATGGAGGAGAAGGGACTGCGGCGTGACCATCCCCGCTAGGGGGTGATTTCTCGCCTTCTGTCTGTCTCTGTCTGTCTGACGAGTGCACGCGCCCTATTGCAAAAAAAAAAAAAAAAGATAATAGACTCCCCCATACGACCAACTACAGTTTGAGTCTTGAACTTCATACCAGGTCCATGTGTGTATGTACCCACAGTCCCAGGAGGAGAATGGAGAAGGAACTGTCGTGTGGCCATCTCCCTAAGGGGGTGATTTCTCACCTTCCCTCACTATCTTTCTTCAGCAAGTATACACACCCTATGTCAAAAACCTAAAAACAAAAAAATAATATCACCAATCAAATAAAATGCAAAATTTGTGGAATGTGAAAGTTAAGAGCAGGACAAGTACTTATGAAATAAAGTCAAAGCACCACGAATCTTTGCAATAGGGTGTGTGCGTGCATGCATGCTGGGGGTGCGTGTGTGTGTGTGTGTGTGTGTGTGCAGGGGTGTGTGTGAAATTACCCCGAGGGATGGCCACCTCACAATCCTTCTTGTCCATTCTCCTCTCAGGATTTTGGGCACGCACACTCATGTATTGAGCATGTTTTTCAAGCCACCTGGATCATATTCAAACTGTACTTAGGCCATGTGGGATCCTGTGCCTTAACCACCACACCACCTCCTGGCCCACAAACCCTACTCTTAAATGAAAAGCAGATCACTTTGAGAAGAAAAACAAAAAACCTAACATTGAATCTTTTTTCTAATTATACTACAGTGCTCCTAAAAGCAAACTGACTACCAACTCTCTCCCTGTTAAGAGTTAAATGCTGGTTTCCACAGTAAATAAAACAAGATGATATACTGGATAATGATAGCCAGGTTCCAACCTAAACTTGCCACATCTCGAATTAACTGATTACTTACATTATTAACCAAAGTATCCTCCATCTTTGTATTGTTAGTGGCCACAGTGTTAGGCAGAGAAGAAGAAGGTGTAGTGTAATCTGTTACAGACTCCTGTAGAGCAGCAATAGAAAAAAAAGACACTTTAAACGGAATTAATCACTTTTTTTTTTTTTGGAGAGGTTTTTGCTATAGGGCGCGTGCACTAGCCAGACAGAGAGACAGAGAGACAGAAAGCAAGAAATCACCCCCCAGAGGGGATGGCCACGCCACAATCCCTTCTCCTCCATTCTCCTCTTGGGATCTTGGGCATATATGCACATGCACCTGGTGTGAGTTTAAGCCACCGGGTCCAGGACTCGAACTGCGGTTGACTACATGGGAGTCCAGCGACATAGCCATTACGCTAACTGCTGGTCCCTGAATTAATCACTTTCTAATGAAAACCTAACAGCTGTAAAGAGTTGGAGGGAAGGAAGAAGGCTGACCTTGAAACTCAACTAACTGACACAAATCTTACTTTATCGAATAACAGTGGCAGAACATAACAAGGACCTACCATCCAAATGGTAACACTTCAACTATCACTGAGCTCCTGTACGTTTTCAAACTATATTGTATATTGCTTCTGTGGGTTAAAGATTTGTTTACATGTTTCCCATTCTCAATCTACAGCTTATTATTAACAATTGATTTGTTTCTCTTCAAAATAAACACTGTAAATATCAAAATCTCAGCCGTCACCATTAATCTGGTTTTAGGGTAATTCTCTTTACCGTCATGCATCCCTTCTTTAAATCTGATGGAGTTGAATCACATGAGTATTTACTTACATGTAAATTCAGTCATTATGACAGTTAAAAAAGGAAAAATATTTAATTATGAAAGAGTACATCTTTCTATTCAGTGAGTTTATGTCCTCATGTGAACAGAGATGGCAGATACAAAGTATCAGTTGCCACAGTCACTGCACTGTCTTGCTTTAAGGAGCATTTTTAAAGGCATACATCTTCAATTCGATGTGGCTTTACATGAAAGTTAACATCTAGCATGGTAGCTCAACCAAGCAATCACTGATCTGTTCCTCTGAGAGTAGCTGGCACACAGGAGTTACTATAAGTTCACCTTATCTCCTGATTTAGAATTTGACCAGTGACAAAGATAAGACTCCAACTCCTTTAGTAAAATAAAATACAAAGCCATCCATTCCAAGTGTAAACCCAATGAAAAGTAGTACAATCCTATACTTTAAGGTACTCAAAATAGCCCAGAATGAAAAGAAAATTTCCACAAAAGGAAATATAATTCACTGCAAAGAATCTACCATTGTTACGCATACCATAAAACAAAATCCTCTCTTTAGAAATTACAACCCATATAGTCTGTAGAATTATATGTCTCAGCCAAAAAAACAAAAATATGTGTGTGCACGCACACACAGACACACACACACACCATTGCTGTTATTCCCATTCATCTTAGACATGGCTTCTGCATCAACTAAACTGTTAATCACTGAGTGCTGCTTACCTTTGCATTAGTCCCATATTCTGCAGATGACACTGAGATCATTGTGCCTATTTCAGTAGACATTTCAGTGACTGCTTTGGTTTCCTTTGTTGTGACAGGATCTGTGCTTCTGCCTGTGGCAGGGCTTGGCTTCTCTTGTCCTTCTGGCTCCACCTGTTGGGCATCTTTCGCTTTTCTATTTTTTAATGAACGTTCCTTTCCAATGGGACCAGGTTTATGTTCTTTGTTTTCTACTGGACTCAAATCTGGAAGCTAAATTCAATGTTCATAACAAAAAATTGCATCACAACCAAAGGCAGACATTAAGACCTAAATTTAATTTTAAAGCCACTGTTTATTCTCCATAAGTATTAGTGGCTTTCATAAAATTGTACCTACCTTCTGGGCTTTGATAGGTCCTGCCCGTGGCTGCTTCTGCCGTTGTTCTTTAGGTTCAGCTATTTTGTCGGAAGATTTTTCTGAAATCACAGGAACAACATTTTCGTTCCCATTTGAAGCTGGAGCACCAAACTGAATTGTGTCAATTCCAATTTCAACTCCACTTTCTTGACCATTCTTTGTTCCCTGGTTAAAAAAACAAACATACATTTAAAAACTTGCTATCAAAGCAAACAGAGGTTTAGATTTGACTGGCTGATAGAACAGGGTTTAAAGCAATATACATACTAACGGAGCATAATTGACAATGATTATATTTAGGAGAACTTTCCCTTGGCCACTCTTGATCTGTATACTATTGGGTTATCAAAGAAGTCATGATGCATTTCAGCAAAGTCACAATACATAGAAAAACAAACAAAAAAATCATGACTTTTTTGATGACCCAATAGAAAACGATGATAATATGAAAATTTGGATGAGACTTAAGTTACTATGGTTCAAGTCTCAGACCTGGCAGCTTGCTTTCTCATTTTCCCTTTTTTTCCCTCTCTCTGGTCAATTAATAATAATAATAACAACAACAACAAATAAAATTAAATGAGTAATTATTTTTTAAAAAAGCCATAAGGACACCATCACAACAAACATACGAATGAATGCATGAATAGGAGAGAGAACAGAGTAATACTAATGTAACTGACTTCTCAGAAGTCTGCTAGGAAAATGAAATGAAATATATGTGTGTATACACACACACACAAAGTGTGTATGTATATGTATATTATATATATATATATATATATACACACACACACACACACACACACACACACATACACACACACATACATACATAGACACAAAGTACTTTGTGGGACCAGCAGTTAGCGTAATGGCTATGTTGCTGGACTCCCACATAGTTGACCATAGTTCGAGTCCTGGACCCGGTGGCTTTAAACGCATGCCAGGTGTGTGTGTGTGTGTCCAAGATCCCAAGAGAGAAGAATGGAGGAGAAGGGACTGTGGTGTGGCCATCCCTCCGGGGAGTGATTTCTCGCTTTCTGTCTGTCTTTCTGGTGAGTGCACACACCCTATCTATCCACCAATTAAACAACTAATTTATTAAGCATCTTCTTCATGGTAAGACCTAGTACTCTAACTTGGGAAATTGCATTCCAGGGCGTGAAGAACATAAAGAACTTAACATTCAGAGGAGGGATATGCAAAAATCAAAAATGGGTTAAGGTATTCAGCCACTTTAGCCTGGTAGATGGAAAATGCCCCGAGGATGACATACTAAAACTGAATCTTAAAGACAGGATCATTGCAAATTATTTCAGTGTTTCCGGAACAGCAAATCACAGAGACTGAAGCATAGCAGGTATTGGAATAAAGGTGCCAGACAGACAAGAAGGCTAGACAACATAACATATAGCTTTGTTACAACAATCACTTAATGGAGAAATGGAGAAGGGATTGTAGCACGAGCATTCCCCACAGGGGCTATTCTCTCCTTCTCCCTCTGTCTTTCTCTGGAGGATGCACCCTCTGGCAAAAGCTTTAGAAAATAATTAAGTAATCAAACAAAAACATTAAAAAAAGAAAGAAAAAGAAACAGATGATGAAGTCTACTCTACACCTACAAGTCAGAAAACTGGAAAGGGGTGGTGTTAGGAAGAGTTCCTCAAAGAAAAGAAAACCCAACTATATCTTCAGCTATTGCTCTGTCCATTTCACTGCACCTTCACAGCAAAATTATTCTGAATTTCTCTGTAGTCATGTTTGCTCCCATTTCCCCCTAAATCTACTCTATCCAGGTTTTATGCCTAATCTAGCACCAGTGCTTACTCTTCAGAGCCAGCAGCACCTCCACAGAGTAAGCGTCAACCCTCAATGGAGAGCCTAAACTATTTAACCTACCCGCAGCACTTGACACATGACTTCATCTACCCCTTCTTTAAATTTCATCTTTTCTTGGCTTTTAGGACACCTGTCTAATCCCTTGGCTAATCCATCTCCTGCATTTCCCTGAAGTATTAATAAAAGTCCCAAGACTAAATTTTTAGTTTTCTTTTCCAATTACTTTCATAATTCATTCTGCTTGGTGATCTTATCTATCTCCAGCACTTTTAAACATCACCTATATGGTACTATCTTTAGAATCCATCTCCAAACTAGATTCTCTCTTCTGAACTACAACTCCATTCAACAAGCCACTTGACATTTTCACTTAGATGTTCAATAAATTATCTTAAATCTAACAAGCACCACACCAAACTCCTTTATCTTCTCTCCTAATCCTGATCCATTTAAATACTTCCCAATCTCAACTGATGGAATGCTATCCTTCCTATTGCTCAAGCCAAAAGCCTCGGAGCGAAATTCTATTACTCTGTTCTTGCACATCCACATTTAGTCATCAGTAAATCTTGTCAGTTTGATCTTCAAATACTCAGAAACTAACCGTATCTCAAGACCCTTAATGCTATTTCCCTAGTGTAAGTTATTATCATTTGACTATTTAACAGTATTCTAATTGGAAGGCCTGGCCTTGTGGCCCAATGGTTAAGAAAGCAGGGTCCCACATGGCCAATCGCATCATTCAAATGTGGACCCAGCGGCATGACCATGTCCCACTTTCCCCCTTTCCTGCTCTGCAAAGCACAATCTCTGACAAATTAAAAATAAAGTATTTTAACTTTTATTCTTGACCCGCCCCTGACTACTCTTAACAGGCCAACCAGTGCAATCTTTAAAGTCTGATCCTGTCACTCTTTTGCTTAAAATCCTCCTGCCTATGCAAAGGACCCTCAGGACCCATCCACTACTACATCTCTAACTTTATCATCTCCATTTCTATGTTGCTCATCACATGGGCCTTCCTGAACTTCTTCAAACCCACTTGTCCTTTATCTTTCATATCTGCTATATCTGAACCCAGAATTCACTTTTCTTCACACATCTGGATAGGATGATCTCTTATCTCCTTCAAGTCTTTAACTCAACCGTCACCTAAGTAGCCTTTCCTGGCCAATCTACATTAAATTGTGTCCACATTCCTTAGGAAATTCCTCTGTGCCCATCTAGCTTTGCTTTTCTCTTCAGCACCAATCACTACTTAACACATTATATGTACTTAATGTGGATTCAGATTAGATGGAAGCCCCATGTGGGAGCGGGTGTCTATAACCACAGGACCACAGGTTATGTTGGGTATAACACAAGTGCTTAATAAAATGTCTGTTCAATGGAGAATGAAGAATCATGAACCTGTATTGCATATGTCTGAGAAATAATGCTAGAACAATGACCTCCTGTAATCTATGTATTAATGCTAATTATTCTAACTAGAAACATAGTAATACATTTATATTTGTCTTTGCTTGAGACTGGAATAAAACAGTTGAACTGAAGTATGTCTACAGGTGAGAAGCCACTGCTATAACTGTAGGTAAATTCAATTTGGCAGCCTTAGCTGGAAACCTATTAGAAGTATACTCGTGCCTCAGTCAGATCTGCTAACTCAGATCCTCTGGGCATGGAGCTGCCTTTATTTCATGGCCTTCGGGGGGGCTCTGAGACATCCTGGGGTGTAAGAACCACTTGTCATGCTAACCCAGTATTGACATTATCAGATTTATTTCCTACCTCTGCTGCAGCAGCGGATCCAAACGATGTTAAGGGCTTATTCCATGCACTTACTGAAGGTGGCTGTGGTGGACTAATGGGACCTACTAAAAGAAAACGCCATAGGAAATGGGACCATTAAAATTTAGAAGCTAATTATCTCTAACCCATTTAACCTTTCTCTTAATGATAGTCAGACAATAAAACAATGACTTTGAGGGATTTTTACATAAGAAAATAAACATACCCCCCAAGTGCTGTATAGTAAAATCAACTTAAAAAACTGCATTCATAAAATATGGCTGTTAAACATGCTTATCTTAGGGACCACAAGATGGTGTAATGGTTATGCTGCCAGACTCACATAGTCAACTGTGCTTCGAGTCCTGGCCCTGGCAGCTTTAAACTCATGCCTGACACGTGTCCATGTGTGCCCAAAATCCCAAGGGGAGAAAGGAGAAGGGATAGAGGCATGGCCACCCATCAAAGTGTGTGTGTGTGTGTGTGTGCATGCGCACGATTTCTCGCTTTCTGTCTCTCTGGTGACTATATGCACCCTATCACAAAATATTTAAGCAAGTAAATAAATAAGTAAAGAAAAATTTTAAATGCTTATTTTAGAAACAAAGATTTTAAAAAGTTAGTTATGTATGGTTTCTTACTGCTTCCTACTAAGAAAAACGAAATGACTAGAAAAAACTTGCCGAGTACATAAATAAAACTGAAATCAAATCTCAGTATTCCTATGCCATTCCCTGCCCCTTGCTTCTCTGCCGCACACTTACATTTCTTAGAGATGTCATTCAGCACAGCTGGTGGGGCCACCTTGTTATCCCATAACTCGGCTGTAAGAGTGCCATGAGACTGTGGGGTCTGGATAGATTTTCCTGCAGCTACATAATCTGTGCCATTTGGTGCCTGAGCTGAAGGCAGCCTAATTGAAGGTGGTGGCTGCTTTGAAGACTGGGCTGCAGTCTGCAGTGGGTTCTGGACTGGTTTGTGGGTCAGTGCCTGAGCCTGGGATGGAACAGTAGGCACCGGGACAGGGGCTGGGGTAGGGACTGTGGCTGGAGTAAGTGGGACTGAGGCAGTTTGGGCTGAGGCTGGGGCAGCTGGGGTTGAGATAGATGGTGTGGGAGTTGAGGCTGGAGTCGGAGATGAAGCTGGTGCTAAGGCTGAAGCAAGAATGGGAATTGAGGGTGTGGCAAGCATGGGGACAGAGGCTGGGGTGGAAGCTGCAGCAAGGATGGGAGTTGGAGCTGGGGTTGAAGCTGGAGCTGAAGAGGCTGTCACTATAGCTGAAGTGGAGGTTGGAACTGGTGCTGTTGAGGTTGAAACTGGAGCTGAGGCTGAAGTAAGAACTGGACCTGAGGCTGAAGCAGAAATTGGAGCTATAGGAGATGCTAAAACAGGAGCTGAGGTGGAGGCTGGAGTTAGAGGTGAGGTGGAAGCTGGAACTGGAGCTGAGGCTGTAGTTGGAGCTGAGGCTAGAGACGGTGTTTGCTGGGTCACTGTAGCCTGTTTTTTGGCAAATCTTGGAGGGAGCTTAGAAGTCTGACTTCTTCCTTTTTCATTTGCATTCTTTTTGTTCCAGACCTTAAAACAATGATAGGAATAATTTTTGTCAATAATGTAGCTGAAAACATAACTTTGCATATATAATTTCTAACAAAACAACCTATTGCTAATTTAGCTCTTCAACAGTTCAAAACAGATATGTACTAACAGAGCAAAAATGTCAATGTGGCTCATCAGACTATAAATCATGACAAGTAAAGATAATATAGATTAAAAAAATACAAAGGTCAGGGGTGACATAGTGGATAAAGAGGCTGGAAAAACTTATCAAACAGATGTGTGTGTGATGCCCAAAATTCTGCAAAGAAAAAAATGAAGGAAAAGGGGCTGTGGTGTGGCTGAACTCCACGGAGAGTTGCTTTCTTACTCCCACATCTGATATTTATCTGGTGAATGCAAACAACCTCTAGCAAATTTAAGGAGAAAAAAAAAAAAGGGCAAATATATATTTTGATATACAGGTCCACAATTTCCTTTCCAAGTTTCTGAAATTTAAAAACTTAAGGAGGTGGTGTGGGTAAGGCGCTGGACTCCCATATGTCCAACCTCAGTTCGAGTCCTGGACCTTAAGGCTTGAAACTCACACCAGGCACATGGTGTGCAGGTACCATAAATTCTAAGAGGAGGATGGAGGAAAAGGGACTGCAGCATGGCCATCCCCCTTCGGAGATGATTTCTCACTTTCTGTCTTTCTAGTAAGTGCATGTGCCCTATAGCAAAAAAATCTCTTAAAACAACAACAACAGTACTAACACATAAAACACATTGCTGGTGAGCCAAAATAAAGACAGTCTGCTCTGAAGCAATGGTGAACAATAGTGATTGCATTCGATTTGAAATTTACCTTAATTTTGGTTAAACCAGTAGAAAGTTCTGAGTTTCAAGTCTCCATAAACATCTGAATAATAAATACATCCTTGACTTTACAGGTAAACAGAAACTCAGACCACACTAAGATACTTTGGAAAACAATCTATTAATAAATAACTAGCAAGAAACTGAAACAAGCTTTAAACCTGTACGACTTGTTCTTCTTTCTTTCGACGTTCCTCATCCTGTAAACGTTTTTGTTGTTTTTTGGAGACTACTTCAGTAAAACCATCATCATTCAAATTTGACTGTGGATCTTCAACTACTGTTACTTCAGGATGATCATCAATTATAACAACACCTGTCGGTGTGGAAAAACATTTAAAATTATGTTTCCTTTTATCACCTGGAAAGTCAACACATATGTCTGTTTTTCTATGCAAAAATGGATCATGACTTTCTTGACAAGCTAATAAATAGACATGTTATATCTTAATTCAGTAATACTTGGGGAAATGTCAATTGCGAAAGTTCTTTGGAACACGGAAAATTGGTCAACAAATGCTTGTGAAGACAATTCGGCCATATTTTGTGAACTTTTTGTCATCTTTTCCAGTGTAGTGTTTAGAGGGATGCTCCTCCCTCTCTTCTGGACCACCATGACTGTTAGCATTCCAGCTCCCTAGGGTTTTTCAAATTTAGCACTATCAGCATTTCAGACTGGCAGTTCTGTGTACTATAGAATTTTTAGCTAGTATCTCTAGCTTCTACCCACTAGATGTTCTTATCAACCTAGCCCTAGTTGAAGTGCCAAGTGCTGCCAAAGATTGTCAAATGTCCGCTGAAATCCAAGATTATTCTTGTTAAAAACCACTGCTCTAAATAAATCTTTGTAACTGCAAACTCCTAAAATAGGCAATTAAGATTAGTTTCTTTCTTTTCATATGAATTTTAAAATTGGGGCCAGGTGGTGGTGGTAAAACTCAATGTAATGCAAGGCAATTTCACACAGGAAGGTTCTCAGTTCAAGTTCAAAGACTACTCTGAGTATAGGACACAAACATGTCCATGATCTGGGGTAGGCTGAAGGCTGGGGTTGTTGTATGTCTCTCTCACTCATGGAAGAAATAAAGGTAAAACTCAATGTAATGCAAGGCAATTTCACACAGGAAGGTTCTCAGTTCAAGTTCAAAGACTACTCTGAGTATAGGACACAAACATGTCCATGATCTGGGGTAGGCTGAAGGCTGGGGTTGTTGTATGTCTCTCTCACTCATGGAAGAAATAAACTTAAAAAAAAAAAAAAAAGATGAATTCTAAAAGTCATCTAAAAGAGTAATTCTCAAACCTAAGCATGTGTCAGAACTCCCTGGAAAATCTGCTGAAACACAGAAATGTTTCCACCCCAGGGTCTGATAAGGGCAGGCCTGGGGCAGAGCCCAACAACTTGTGATTTCTCACAAATTTTTAGGTGATATGATGGTCTGGGAACCACACTTTGGGAATCGCTATTCCAGAAATAATGTCCACTGGTTAGCCCTGGTGGTGTAACAGTAACAACATTCTATGATACTAGGGTCACATGAGAAGGTTCTAGGTTTGGGTCCTGGTATCTCTCTGAGTACATCATGATCCCAGTCTGGCTGAGGCTGGGGGTAAACTTAGTGAGAACCTGTTGTGGGGATCTGCCATCTACCCCATGCCATGAAATAAACTTAAAACTTTTTTAAAAAAAGAAGAAGGGACCAGCAGATGGAATAATAGTTACATCGTGGGACTACCATGGACTACAGATCCAGTTCCAGACCTGGCAGCTTGAAACTCACGCTGGGTGCAAGTGTATGCATGACCAAGATCTTGAGAGGAGAATGAAGAAGGAACTGCAGGGTGGCCATCCTCCTGGGGGGTGATTTCTTGCTTTGTCTCTCTCTCTCTCTCTGGCAAGCACGCAGACTCTATAGCAAAAATCTCTCTTAGAAAATAGAGAAAGAGAGAGAAAAGAAACTAATTGACCAGTACCTGGACCCAAATCAAGGTTCAGTATGTATAAATAACCATTAACAGGGCCAGTTGGTGGCATGGTGGTTAAGGTGCTGGATTCTCACATGGCTTACTGCAGAATGAGTTCTAGACACAGTGGCTTAAAAATCACAACAAATAAATACATACATGAATAAATAAATAAATGCTAAAAAAAAAATTAAAGAGCCATTAACTAGACAGGAAAAAAAGACCTCAACTACATTTTTAATATTGGAGTAACAGTAACTCATCTAACTTTCCCATTACTAATATTTGGTCTTAACTTAATCTCCCAATTTTATTCAGTATTTCCAGCTTTGATCTCATCTGAATATATAGCATATAGCTTATTCTCATTTTTATGTGTATGAACATCTAGTCACAGATATTCTTTGCTAGATTTCTCATCCAATATTTCACACTTCTTATGTTACCCTTTATCTAGATACTTTTCATGATCACTTCATGGCTTATAAAGTATTTATATATATAATCCTATTATTTATTCTGCTTACTACATCTTAAATACTAATTTTACCAAGGTCATAACTCACTAGATTTATCATTTTTTCCTAGTATTTGTTTTTAAAAAGACATAGTATCTGAACAGACACAGCTAAGCATTTTCCCATGATTTTCTGTACTTTCTCAGAAATATTTGGAAGGTAGAATGGTTACTCAATTTTCTCCTTCTATGGAGCATTATTAATTTTTTTTTACTATGCAGTTCTTTGTTTTTTTTGTTTTTTTGTTTTTTTTTTTCCCCTCCTGAGAGGTTTTTGCTATAGGGTGCATGCACTCACCAAAAAGACAGAGATAGATAGACAGAAAACGAGAAATCACCCCCCTGGGGAAATGGCCACGCTGCAATCCCTTCTCCTCCACTTTCCTCTTGGGATCTTGGGCACACACGCACACGCCCCTGGTGTGAATTTCAGCCATCAAGTACAGGACTCGAACCACGGTCGACTACATGGGAGTCCAGCGACATAGTCATTATGCCAACTGCTGGTCCCAAACATATAGGAAGGTAGGACGGTTACTCAATTTTCTCCTTCTATGGAATACATACGTATTTTTTTTTTTAAAAAAGGCACATGTGCTTACTGGAGAGAGACAAAGCACACAGAGAGGAAAAGAGAGAGAGGGAAAGTGAGAAAGCACTCCCCAAGCAAGCCGGACACACCACAATCTCCTCTCCATCCTCTTCTTAGGTTTTGAGTGTGCACACTTGTGCACACTTACACACATGTATACACATACACACCCACATAGTATGTTTTCCAAGCCACCAGGTTCAGAACTTGAACTGCACAGTCAGTCAGGTGGGATCCAGCCACCTTAATCTCAATGCTACTGGCTGGTTTAAAAAAAAGTTTTGTTAAACATTCATGGCTATTCTAAAAGCTGGTTGTTATGTTAGTTTAAGTTAAACCAACTGGTGGTTTCATAATCAGCTTCCACTTTTTTTTTTTTTTTTTTGGTAAAATTTATGAATTTCTTCCATGAGAGAGAGAGAGACAATGGGTTTGGGGTGGCACTCTCAACAGCTGCTTCATGATGTGATCTGATCCAAACCTCAATAGGCCTGGGTCACAGGCATGTTTAAGTCTAGCCTATGTAGGGCTGTCCCAGGACCTGAACCCTGGACCTTTCCCATGTGGGTTTAGAGCTTCTACCCACTAGATGTTCTTATCAACCTAGCCCTAGTTGAAGTGCCAAGTGCTGCCAAAGATTGTCAAATGTCCGCTGAAATCCAAGATTATTCTTGTTAAAAACCACTGCTCTAAATAAATCTTTGTAACTGCAAACTCCTAAAATAGGCAATTAAGATTAGTTTCTTTCTTTTCATATGAATTTTAAAATTGGGGCCAGGTGGTGGTGGTAAAACTCAATGTAATGCAAGGCAATTTCACACAGGAAGGTTCTCAGTTCAAGTTCAAAGACTACTCTGAGTATAGGACACAAACATGTCCATGATCTGGGGTAGGCTGAAGGCTGGGGTTGTTGTATGTCTCTCTCACTCATGGAAGAAATAAACTTAAAAAAAAAAAAAAAAGATGAATTCTAAAAGTCATCTAAAAGAGTAATTCTCAAACCTAAGCATGTGTCAGAACTCCCTGGAAAATCTGCTGAAACACAGAAATGTTTCCACCCCAGGGTCTGATAAGGGCAGGCCTGGGGCAGAGCCCAACAACTTGTGATTTCTCACAAATTTTTAGGTGATATGATGGTCTGGGAACCACACTTTGGGAATCGCTATTCCAGAAATAATGTCCACTGGTTAGCCCTGGTGGTGTAACAGTAACAACATTCTATGATACTAGGGTCACATGAGAAGGTTCTAGGTTTGGGTCCTGGTATCTCTCTGAGTACATCATGATCCCAGTCTGGCTGAGGCTGGGGGTAAACTTAGTGAGAACCTGTTGTGGGGATCTGCCATCTACCCCATGCCATGAAATAAACTTAAAACTTTTTTAAAAAAAGAAGAAGGGACCAGCAGATGGAATAATAGTTACATCGTGGGACTACCATGGACTACAGATCCAGTTCCAGACCTGGCAGCTTGAAACTCACGCTGGGTGCAAGTGTATGCATGACCAAGATCTTGAGAGGAGAATGAAGAAGGAACTGCAGGGTGGCCATCCTCCTGGGGGGTGATTTCTTGCTTTGTCTCTCTCTCTCTCTCTGGCAAGCACGCAGACTCTATAGCAAAAATCTCTCTTAGAAAATAGAGAAAGAGAGAGAAAAGAAACTAATTGACCAGTACCTGGACCCAAATCAAGGTTCAGTATGTATAAATAACCATTAACAGGGCCAGTTGGTGGCATGGTGGTTAAGGTGCTGGATTCTCACATGGCTTACTGCAGAATGAGTTCTAGACACAGTGGCTTAAAAATCACAACAAATAAATACATACATGAATAAATAAATAAATGCTAAAAAAAAAATTAAAGAGCCATTAACTAGACAGGAAAAAAAGACCTCAACTACATTTTTAATATTGGAGTAACAGTAACTCATCTAACTTTCCCATTACTAATATTTGGTCTTAACTTAATCTCCCAATTTTATTCAGTATTTCCAGCTTTGATCTCATCTGAATATATAGCATATAGCTTATTCTCATTTTTATGTGTATGAACATCTAGTCACAGATATTCTTTGCTAGATTTCTCATCCAATATTTCACACTTCTTATGTTACCCTTTATCTAGATACTTTTCATGATCACTTCATGGCTTATAAAGTATTTATATATATAATCCTATTATTTATTCTGCTTACTACATCTTAAATACTAATTTTACCAAGGTCATAACTCACTAGATTTATCATTTTTTCCTAGTATTTGTTTTTAAAAAGACATAGTATCTGAACAGACACAGCTAAGCATTTTCCCATGATTTTCTGTACTTTCTCAGAAATATTTGGAAGGTAGAATGGTTACTCAATTTTCTCCTTCTATGGAGCATTATTAATTTTTTTTTACTATGCAGTTCTTTGTTTTTTTTGTTTTTTTGTTTTTTTTTTTCCCCTCCTGAGAGGTTTTTGCTATAGGGTGCATGCACTCACCAAAAAGACAGAGATAGATAGACAGAAAACGAGAAATCACCCCCCTGGGGAAATGGCCACGCTGCAATCCCTTCTCCTCCACTTTCCTCTTGGGATCTTGGGCACACACGCACACGCCCCTGGTGTGAATTTAAGCCATCAAGTCCAGGACTCGAACCACGGTCGACTACATGGGAGTCCAGCGACATAGTCATTATGCCAACTGCTGGTCCCAAACATATAGGAAGGTAGGACGGTTACTCAATTTTCTCCTTCTATGGAATACATACGTATTTTTTTTTTTAAAAAAGGCACATGTGCTTACTGGAGAGAGACAAAGCACACAGAGAGGAAAAGAGAGAGAGGGAAAGTGAGAAAGCACTCCCCAAGCAAGCCGGACACACCACAATCTCCTCTCCATCCTCTTCTTTTTTTTTTTTTTGGTAAAATTTATGAATTTCTTCCATGAGAGAGAGAGAGACAATGGGTTTGGGGTGGCACTCTCAACAGCTGCTTCATGATGTGATCTGATCCAAACCTCAATAGGCCTGGGTCACAGGCATGTTTAAGTCTAGCCTATGTAGGGCTGTCCCAGGACCTGAACCCTGGACCTTTCCCATGTGGGTTTAGAGCATTACTGCTGTGCCACATTGCCAAGCTCCTCTATCTCGACCTTAAATGCTCATGCCTTGCCTTGTTTGATGTCTTCTTTATAGCAAGTACTTAAATGAAACAAGAAAACAAACAGGGCCAGCCTGTGCTGTAGTGTGCTGGTTAAGGCAGTTATTTTTCACATGGCTGGCTATGCAATAGGAGTCCCGGACCTGGAAGCTTGAAAATACCAGGCACATATGCGTGCATGCCCAAGATACCAGAAGGAGGGAGAAAACGGAGGCAAAGGGATTACATTCCTCATGGGAGAGTGCTTTCTCATTTTTCTTCTGTCTCTCTTCAGTAAGCACATGCATCCTCTGGCAAACAAAACAAAAACCAAGTAAAATGAAGGGAAGCTAAGACATACTTGCATAATTGTTGAGATCAAACTGTGACAGAGCATCTACTTTCTCTTTGGGTTTTTTAGGCCCTGGTTTGGGGTCTTCTCTTTTTTTCCCGGCAGAATCTTTGGAGTTCTTTTGTCCTGCACCGTTAGGTGCTCCTTCTTGGTGATGTGCAGTACTGCTGCTGATGGGGTCAACACCAGTTGTACCTGCAGACTGATCATCAAATGGCCTGCAAGAAATAATTAGAGTTATTACTATCGCCACATACTAGAACAAAAGGAAAATGCTCTTCCTGGTAGCTTCTAAAAGTCATTCTAAGAGGAAGCTGCATAAGAACAGGAGATTCTCTCTCTAACACCAACAATCCCACTAAAACTGAACATCCAAATAAAGTAGATTAGCTCCCTGGAGTTCTTTCCAGCGATTAAATTCTAGAAATCCAATTATCTTCACCAGGTGTGTATTGTGTGTTTGTCTCTCATATTAAAAATGAGTTAATTAACACTATCTATAGTAGAAAATTTCCGTGATCTCGGTAAGTCCAATGTACTCATACAACTCAGTCTTCCAAAAGTAAGCAGCATATGCAAAAATTCTGAAAGCATTCTATGCTGATGGGTATATTTCTTAACAGTTCAGTCAAATTTATGTATCAATATAAACACACTACCAATATAAACACACTACAAAAACAACTTTCATTGGAAATAATTCAAAGTAAATACATTCCTACAGTTTTTGCTTCCTACTAGAAAAATTCTTAATTTTTTTTTTAATTTTTCAAGTGAAAACAGACCACAAAAAATAGATCAACTCGTTAATCTTCACCTTAGCCTATACTTAAGCTTACTAAGTGTCTAACCATGACCTTAAACATCTGAAGAATGAATTCAGTTCTGGTAAGCAAGACTTTAACATTTGTTTTTATTATAATCAGATAGTTATTTCTACATGTTCAAAGTTGTTACCTATGTTACACAAAAAGATTGCTAAGCAGCTAACATCTATTAGCACAAAAATCAGATTATGATTTCTCTTGAGCATTATTCTTAAAATTCTAGTTATCAGGCTGGCCCTGTGGCACAGTGGCTTAGGGAGCTGAATACCACATGGCCAACAACAGTTCAAATCCCAACCCTGATGGTATGAAAAACCTGCCAGGCACATATGCATGTAAGCCCCAAATCTTGACAGGTTGGAGGAATGGAGAACGGACTGCAGCATAATCATGCCCCCCTTCCCCACCCCCGGGTATACGTTCTCCCTCTCCATTTCAAAAGTGAATGAGCCCTTGGAGGAAAAAAAATATAAAAAAATAGATTCCTACAACATTTATGTTATTAGTGCTGGGTAACTGGGCTGAGATCTTCTTTCAAGATTTCTAGTTGGGTCATTTATTGTGAGTTTATAATCCTTAAGGTTCAACATTGACTGTCGGGGAAACCAGTACAGCAGGCCAGCATGTGGCATTGAGGTTAAGGTGCTGGATCCCATATGGCTGGTTGCATGGTTTGACTCAGCGGCTTGAAAATCATGTCATGTCTAAAAATCCTGAGAGGACTGGAAGAGAAGGGACCGTGGTGTGGCCATTCACCATAGAGGGTAATTTCTAACTCCATCCCACCCCTTCTGGTAAGCATATGTGGCATATAACAGAAACTTAAAAAAAAAAAAAAAATTAGTATGGGATGGTGAAGAACATCGGTTATAACATATACATTTAAGAGGGCATTTATGTTACACCAATGTTGTGCAAGGAGAGACTAAGCAGGGGTCCAGCTATGGTGCTGTAGGCAGTAGGGGTCCTGCTGCTCATTTCTACAAACCATATGGGAAAGCTCCAAGTTTGCATTTGGGTCTTCCTAAACATGTTGAGTGTGCCTGTGAGCTCACTGGTGATCTTGGCTGGCTGTGAGATGTAGGCAGGGTGGTAGGATGGGGACCCCAGTGGGAGTGCCTCTAGGCAGGGTGGTAGGATGGGGACCCCAGTGGGTGTGCCTCTCTCACATGAAGGAAATAAATTTAAAAAAGGAAAAAACAAAGCAAAAGCAAAAAATGTAGGGCCAGTCTCAGCAGTAAAATGACTTAATAAATCTAGGTACGAAGACATTCTCAACGGTACAAAATCCCAAGAAGACACTTTTGGAAAATGTAATTTAGGAGGCAAAGACGCCTGAGACATAGTAACCTCTCTTTCTCAAGCCTTCTTATGCTCTGAGAACAGAGAAAAGCATTTGGGGAAAATAACATCTTGGTTCTCTACCTGGCTCTTTGTATAGTTCAATCAAGAAGTCTACTTTGGCTGCTTTAAAGATATAAAAATAGTTACATCTAAAATTAAGTACATGGGACCAGTAGATGTCATAATGGTTACCTCAATGGACTCCCACGTAGTTGATTATGGTTTGAGTCTCAGACCCAGTGGCTTAAAACTCACACTGGCACATGTGCGTGTGTGCCCAAAATCCCAAGAGGAGAATGGAGAAGGGAATGTGGTGTGGCCAACCCCCCAGGGGGTGATTTCTCACTGTCTGTCTTTCCAACAAGCGCATGTGTCCTATAGCAAAAATCACTCTTTAAAAAGTAAGAATAAAATAAAACTGAGTACTCACCCTCTCTTCCCAGTTTTTGAGGGTGGGCCACTTCTCCTTTCATTCCTAGGGCCTGGGAAATTCCGTCCTGATTTGGGTGGACCGCTGTTGCCACCCCGTCGATTCTGACGGTCTACTCCAGGTCTCTGGCTAGAAAAACTCCTCTTTGCTATTTCCCTCTTTGGAGGCAAAACGTTCTCTCCGGCTTTTACAACTGCTTGTGGATTCGAGTCAGCATTTTTTTTTTCGTCCCTTTCTCGCCTTTCATTGAAGTCACTGCTTTCAGAAGCTGTTTCCCATTCTTCATTTGCCTGATCTGATGAGTTCTGATTAGATAAGTCTGGAGTCTTATTCCCAGAAATATCCCCAGCATTATTAACTGGTTCTTGAGACACACTGTTAACTGTGCCATTTGCAGGCACTGCCACTTCATTTGGTTTTGAAGCAGCTTCCCTTTCTCTTAGCCGTCTAAATCGAGGAGGCTTATCCTGCCTTGGTGGTCGGGTAGGACGCTGCCTTCGGGGCCTCTCTCTAGTCGGGTCGAACTTTCGCTCAAATTTTGGAGGTCGTTTATCTGCTGGTATAGGAATGAACTGTTCGTGTCTTCTTGGTGGCTCTCCATCTTCTGGTTTGGGAGTTTCTGCCTGTCTTGGGTTCCACTGATTATCCCGATAAGCAGGTCTTCGTAAGGTAGAAGGGCGTGAGGGGCGGCCTCCAGGATCCCTTCCACCACGTCTGAATGTCCCCCCTCTGCCTCGCCTTGTAGGCTCTCCTTTGGGAAGGAAGCTTGGTTTAGACTTATCATCATCCCTTACATAAGGTTTTTCTAGTGGTCTATGATCGATTCGAACATGATTTTCTGGTTTGAAAGAAGACTGAGGTTTTATAGGCTTTTTGTTTTCAGATCGTTCCTCTCTTTTGGGAAGTTTGCCTTTGCTCAAACTATCCTTGTCACTTGCACTTTCATGAATTTCGCTGTCGGTATCAGTCTCTGAGCCCCGTTGCCGTCTCCTTTTGGGGACAACTTCAAAATCAGAGCTTTCGCTTCGAGTTTCACTCTCTTCACGCTGTCTGAGAGGCCCTGGGGGGGGGATATGATCTGCCCTTGGCTTACTGTCTCTGTATTGAGGGTACTCTCGAGGGTGTCCTCTGCCACCTCTGCCCCGCCCTCCATAGGAGCCTCTATAGCTTCGACCTCTTGAGTAATATTCACCCCGGCCTCGCCCTCTGTACCCTTGATCTGGAAACCAATCTCTATCTCTAGCTTCTTTCCAATAGGTCCTAGGGGGTAAAGCTGATTCTTTTCTAACTGCTGGTCTTGAATCTGGTCTAGGTCTTTCTATCACAAGGTCTTTGGTGATGACTTTCTCAGGCTGTTTTTCTTCTTTCACTGTTGGCGCTGTGACGGTTTGTTGGTGGACAGTTTTAACTGCAGGCTCTACCTGAACACTGCTCACAGGTTCCAAAGGCTTCTCGGTATCTTGAGACGGTTTTTGAGCTAAAGCTGAAGTTTCTGTTGAAGGACATTTCTCTGGTTCTGACTGAGTTGGTGGAGGAACAGACTGTGGCTGAATCGGTACTGGAGGTGGTGGGGGTGGAGGAAGATGATCCTTCTTTTCTATCTTTTCAGGTTTTACAACCTTCTCAGTAACCTTTTCAACCTTTTCTCCCTCCTTTTCCTTCCTTTGCTCCCGTTCCTCTTTCATATCTCTAAGTACAGGCTTTTTAATGGGACCTGATCGTCTCACAGGTCTATCATTACCATCTTCCCTTCTGTTGGAGCCTGGCCTTGGGCCCCAGCGAGTTTCTGATTTAGATTTATATACTTTTTCAGGTTTTGGTCCTTCAGATGATCGTATAAAGCCATCCTTCTTTGGTTTGTCTTCTTGCCTTTCTGCTGATTCTTTTGAATCTATGCATCTGCTGGTTACTTTAGGAATGCTTGCAGGAGGCTCATTTCTTTGTTCCTCTAATTTCTGAATATGATTAGAACCATGACAAACACTTCTTTTCCGAGTAGGCTGACTTTCCACAGCTGAAGTCCGCTCTTCTGGAGAAGAGGATGCAGTCTTTTGTTCAGGTACATCAAAGCAAGCAGACTGATTATTTGCGTCAGCATGAGGAGGTCTAATATCTTCCACGGATCTGCTTAAAAATTTCTGTACTTCTGTCTCATTTGAGTCTCTGACAAAGTCGGCTTTTGGATGGGCCTCCAACTGATTATGTTCTATAGCATAAGCAGCAGTTATCTGTTCCTGGTCCAGTGCAGCTTCAGGCCTATGATGATGAGAATTCAAAGGTATAACCAATAAGGCAATTTTTTCCACATGTAAGAATACAGAGCAAATTTATTCATCTAATTAAAAACTATAAAACAGGGCTGGCAGGTGGCATGGTGGTTGGAGTGCTGGACTCCCCCATGGCTCACCATGGTTCAAGCCCCAGACCTGGCAGCATGCTTTGACACTCTCTGTCTCTGTCCCTCTCTCTGATCAAATTGAATAATAATAATAAAAAATTAAGTATTTCTTTTTTAAAAACTATAAAACAATGAATCTTTTTATAAGGAGTATCTTTATCTCTCTATAAAAATTTTACTGTAGCATTATTCATAGTATCAAAGATGTAGTCCAAATGCTGGCCAGTAGGTGGCGCAGAAGTTAGGTTGGTAGGATCTCACACAGCCAACTGCGAGGTTCTGGCATGCTGTGTATGTGTGCATGCATGCCCAAAACCTTGAAAGAATGGTAAAGAAAGGATTATGGTATGAGCACCCCCTTCCCGGGGGACGGAGGGGATTTAATTTCTCACTTTCCTCTCTATTGCACACACCCTATAGCAAACTAAGAAAAGAAGGTGGGATGGAGAAACAGTTTAAATGTTAAGTGTATCTACATGAGCATGGTAGATTTAGAATGATCTTCAAGGACATCACAAAATTTTATTTAGACAATATGCTACCTAATCTATTAATAATTTTAGTGGTTTATTACCTAACATCCTCAGGTTCTTCTGTTGCTTTCGGAGTTGTTGCCTGCTGAGGCTCAGCATGAGGATAGGGGTCGGAACCCCACATTACACGAGGCTCAGAAAGGGAAACTGCATGATCTCTGGTGGATCGAGCTAAATGCTCAAATGACTCAGAACTACTTGGTGATCCTTCCATTTGGTCTCTTCTCATTAATGGCTTAGGAGGAATCATTCCTGTAACAAAAGTTCAAAAATGGATGAAATAAAAAAGGCAAAGAAACAAAATAATAGACAAAGAGTACAGGTTATTAATTACTATTTAGAATATACTATATTCAAAGTTTTGTGTTTTTTTCCCTAAGTAAAACTTCTATTTTTGCATAGAAAACTGTCATGACTTTTCTGACAATCCAATAATTAAAATAAAATAAAAACCAAAAGTATTGCTTTGTGAATGAGATTTTTGTTGTTGTTGTTGTTTTTTGCTGTTAAATTAATTTCATTTAAGAACAGAGGAAGAAGGGGCCAGCAGGTAGCATGGAGGTTGAGGCACTAGATTCCCATGTAGCAAACCATGGTTTAGGTCCCAGACCTGGCAGCTGGTTTTCTCATTTTCCCTCTCTCTCTCTATGGTGAGTGTGCTTGCCCTATAACAAATTGAAAAATGACACTAATAAATAAAATTAAATAATTAAAAGAGAAAATCTGACAAAGCAAAACAAGCAAAGCCACAACAAGGACCTATTTTACCTTAAAGAAAATGTGTCTGTAAAATTCAGAAACCATGGTACAACAGATGGCGTACTGGTTACTGGACTGCCATATGCCTGACTGCGGTTCAAGTCCTGGACCCAGAGGCTTGAAACTCATGCCAGGCTTATGTGCGTGCGTGCCCAGGAACCAAGAAGAGACTGGAGAAGGAACTGTGGTGTGGCCCTCACCCCCCCCACGAGGTGTGTGTGTGTGTGTGTGTGTGTGTGTGTGTGTGATTTCTCCCTTTCTGTCTCTCTGACTTTTGAGTGAGCACATGTGCCTTATAACAAAAATATATCTCTCTAAAAAAATAAAAAATCAGAAACATCAGCACATTGAGACTCTGTGCATATTAATAAAAACATCTTGAGAAACATCCCAGCCAGTGATATATTTCACGAGAAAATTATTTTGTATAGCAAATTTCATTAATCGACTTTAATTAGAAAACATACATATATATTATATAGACAAAATTAAAATGCCAAAATACTTCAAAGAACAAAAACAATGTAACCAGTATCAAATACTATTAATAAGAGTAATTTCCATTCCCAAAATTTTAAATAATATACAAAACAGAAAAGAACTAGTGTTTTGGTCTTGTCCAAGTTGGTACAGTATCTAGTATTTTATCTGTAAACTTTCTGAAACTTTTATATTTTTATAATTAAAAATCTAGAGGTCCTATATTTAAGTTATTACTAGATTATAACATTCATAGGAATCAGGAATAAAAACAGGGAGGGAGGGAAGCAAAAAATCTTTGATCCTGCAAAACTGCAAAGTGATCCATAGACAATACCAGTTTCATACCAGGATGAATAGGTGACATATCCATAGCAGGTCTTCCTGACATCATTCGAGGGTCCATGTAGGACTGCATCATGAGCCACCTTGGATCAAAACCCATGGAAGCCAAATGCTGAGGGTGAGGTTGCATGGGCTGGTACAGAGGTCTGTGTGGTGGAGGAGGGACAGCACCACTGGATGGCTGTGAAGGAACACTGTGTGGAAGCACACCTTGACTTTGACTTTGACCTTGCTGCTGTTGCTGCCACTGCTGCTGCTTCATCTGTTCCTGCAAGAACAAAACCCCAAATTTTGAGATTACAAATCCACATGGCACATTAATATAATAAAACATTAGAAAATAATAACCTATTTTGAATCTTTAAAGGAAAAAGTAAGAATTCAAAAGACATTTAACAGTGAGAGTTGGCAAGGCAAAAAAATCAAAGGTTAAATTACAACATTCTGGCCTGATACTAGACTTAGAGCAACTACTAATTTATTATATTCTACAATTCAGGTCCTAGAAATAGAAGACAGAGGATAAAAAGGAAGGGCAAAGAAAGTCAAAGTGAAACTCTTATCAACAAACTTTTATTAAAAAGGATTTCAGGGTGAGCAGGTAGTGTGGAAGTCAAGGCACTGGATCCCACATGGCTGACTGTGTGGTTCAAATCCTGGATTTGGTAGCTTGAAAATCAAACCAGGCATGTATGTGGTGTGTATGTGTGCACAACCAAAATCTTGAGAGGAGAATGGAGGAGAGACGATTATGAAGTGGCCATTTTCACTAGGGAAATTTCTTCTATGTTTTATGTCAAATTCTCAGAATACTAAACAATGAACCTTTCCAGTCACACATACATGATAAAATGTTTTTATCATTACCTGCTGTCGCTGGAATCTTGGTGGTAAAGATTTCTGAAACTGTTTGAAGTACCCAGATAACACAGCAGGCCGAGGCTGACACCCAGATTCTGGCTCTGTTTCATGTGCCACTTGTGTGGTCTCCTTTTCACTGCGATTGCTGTCTTGTCTAGTGAACACCGGCTCTTCTTCTGTTCAAAGAACACATTAAAAAATGGCATTCATTTAAAAAAGACATTCATCTATCACACTTATCAAACACACTATTTTTCTAATGGAATGAAGATGATTAGATTAAGGTATAATGGGAATTAACAAGAAAGAAAACATTCTCAAAACTCTAAAACACTGATTTATAGTAGTGGTAGCCATTAATGAGGTAACGTTAGATTATCAAAACTTTAGATTTCCTCAAAGCTAGATTCTTATAAATCTAGCTTTCTTAGGGGGCGATAATAAAACATTTCCAAATATACTGTTTTCCATTAATTTCAATAAATATCAACACTGTCAATATGGGCTTGTGGTTAACTGGGATATATGTGAAAACATAAATGGTCAATGTAAGTACTTTAAAATAAAGTATACTAGTTCATTTCTTTATCTGATCAAGGAACTATTATCTAAAAATGAAACTACTGAGTTTAAGTCTGAGTGATCACCGGATGTCTTCAAACATATGAATCATTATTCTATATAAGTAGTGTCAGGTATGCCATACCAAAAGGAGACCCATACACATCAAAAAAGATTTTATCTCAAAGAAACTCAGAGTTACATTCATGCTAAAGTATGTATCCTTTTCTCAGAGTAGGGATAAATTTTAACAAAGTTTTTTTTTTTTTTTTTTTTTGGACAAGGTAAAAACATCCTTTAAAAAAATCACAAATCACACTTCTCAAACGTTACATTTAGTGTTAAGAATGTTACAAAAGAAGAAATAGAATATTAGAAGGAAAAGGGAGAGTCCTACAGGTTGAATACTTAAAAATCAAGTGAGTACATCTGAATAATAAACCTACCTAAAATTAAGTTGCCTTGAGAATATAAACAATGTGAGTGAAAATAAAATTACCAATAAATAAAACTGTTAAAAAGAAAATAATTTACATAGCTATACTAACCAATCAAGGTCAATATATGTATTCAGCAGAACCATGAGGACTAAAACATGAATTTCTTTATAATACAGCCTTCTCATTAACAGCTAATTCTTTCAGATTTCCCAAGGTCGGATTTTTGGGCATTCATCAATATTAAAGCATGACAATGTTTTTCATTTGTGTGGTGAGCTATTCTATTTTATTTTTGATATTACAGACAACCTTCTCACACACTTATGATGCACAATAGAAGTCCAAAATCAAAGTCTCTCTCTCTCTAGACCAGTAGGAAAAATGTTTGCTATGAAACCTCTGACTGAAACATGCAATATTATTGATATGAAAAAGAAGTATGAAATATATTCTTAATAAATGGTCCATGTGAGTCTTTTTTTTTTAATGTCAGATGAAACACTCTTAACTCTTACAATCACATTATGAAACAAGTAAGGTAACCAACATATAAAAACTTTATTTTATAAAATAAATTCTTATTGTAAAATTTCAAGCATCAGGGCCTTATAGAAAAGAACATGTAGCTTGAGGTCCAAAAAATGTATGTCTGCATCAGAAAATATACTGAAATATAACTTTTTCTATTTGAAATTATTCATTAAAACTGAAATCTAGTTAGTCAAAGTTTTACACTATACTCTGAATTCCAATAATTAGTATGTAAGTCAACATAAGGCAGAACAAAAAGTTCCTAGGATCTAAGAATGACTACCTAAGGAAAGTATAATTACTCCAGGAAAATTATAGTCTAACAGTATATCAACTACATCATGGACGCTTTCATGTCTGAACTGGTAGAAAAATAACTATGAAATTACGAACTGGGCTACACTTATTTAATTATGACAATTCAACACTCTATTTAAGAGCAGTTTGGGAAGTATTAATGCATGTGAGCAAATACAATTTTGTTTAGTTAAATGTCTTAGAGTGAGAAAAAAGTAGGGGAATAATCACTATATGACAATGAAGACAACACAATTTTCTTTAGGTAAGATAGTCTTGATCCATCAGCTGGGACCACCAATACAGCACTACGAAACACTCAGCTCTTTTTTGGACAGGGTCTCACTGTGTTGCCCAGGCCAGCCTGGAGCTCCTGACCCTCCTAAACTACCCCCACCCGACCCCACATTACTGAGATTACAGGCATGTATAATTACACTCATCCTATATAGGTTTTCCAAGTGATCCCATTCTGCAGCACTGTCCCTTAGCAGGGAGTACCACTGTGGCGGGACTAAAACCAAAAAAATTTTACAGACAAAACAAAATTAACACAAATCCACCAACTTTGAAAAATTCTTCAGGGATGTTTATTCATATATAAAACTAGGAAAGATAGCTCTAGCCTATATTTTATACTGTAAATACTTTTTTAAAAAAATTGCCAGAGGGTGCATACGTTTCCCAGAGAAAGACAGACAGAGAGGGAGGGGAGAAGTACCCGGCAATGAAAGTCTTGACTCAATCCTATACATGCACCCAGTGTGTTTTTCAAGTGCTGAGGCCAGGATACAAACCACAGTTGACTATGTGGGATCTTGTTCCTTTAACTACTAAGGGGGCTGGCTCATACAAATACTATCTTAAAACAACCATTTTCCTTTTTATTCTTTTCAAGATCATTTATTTATTTCTTCCATGAGAGAGAGAAACTCTGATATGGTTCTGACACTGTGACCCACCTCCAGCCAGCCCTAGATCATGGGCATGTGCAAAGTCCAGCACACTCAGGAAGGTGTATGAGTACAAACCCAGAATCCTTCCTTCTGTGTGGGCCAGCCTTGCAGAGCATCGCATTTTATTGCTGCACCACTGTCTGGTCCCACCTTCATATTTTAATTATTTATTTCTTCCATGAGAAAGAGAGAGGGGGGCACCACAAGGACTTCATGCCATATATGACCCACTCCCAGCCAGCCAGGATCAGCAGTGCATAAGGAAACCATGGAACATAAACCTGGGACCCTTGTATGTGGCTTCAGCTTTGTGAAAGTCTGCACCATGACGGTGGGCCAACAATTCCTTTTATTTTATTACATAGCATGAAAATTTTACTAGTTAGTATTTAAAATATTACCAATGGTGATGTTTTAGTTAAGTATATGTGAGCATGAAGAGGAGACTGACTTAAACTTTCTGTAGGAATGAATGAGACTACCATACCTTTACTGCTGTTGTTTTCACTTTCTTGTTTGTCTACTACAGGCTCTAATGTAGGTTCTTTGGGTTCTGTTTTCTCATCCACTTTTTCTCTCTCCTTGTCTAGCTCACATTCCTTTTCCTGTTCTTTAAGCTGTGCTGATTCTTTTTCCTTTTCCCCCTGCCGTTCTAGTTCTTTCTCTTTTTCTTGCCTTTTTTCCTTCTCCATTTCCCTTTGTTTTTCCTGCTCCTTCTCCAGCTCTTTCTCCTTTTCCTGTTGCCTCTCTCTTTCTTTTTCTCTCTCTTTCTTTCGCTCCTGTTCTTGTTCCTTCTCAAGTTCTTTCTCACGCTCCCGTTCTTTCTCTCGTTCCCTTTCCCGAATCTCCTCTGGAGATGGCTGTTTTTCCACAATGCCAAGCTTCTCATCCAATCGCTTCAGTTTCTCCGCACACGCTGCCTTCCGCTGTTCTTCCATTCTTCGCTCTTCCTCTTCACGCCGTTTACGAGCGCGTTCCACTGCTGCAGAGATTTCTGACTGCTGTCTTCGTCTTTGTTTCCATATTTCATCTTCATCAGGAACTTGCTGCTTGGGAGGGAACGGCCCTGGTCTTCCAGGTAATGCCTGTCGATCTGGAGGTGGATGCTGAAACATTAAGGTAAGTTATCAGATGAGTATGAAACTTTCTGATCAATACTGAGGAACACAGGCAGGATTAGGGAGGGGGGAAAACACAAAAATATCATAAAATTTCCTGATAAGACATATGAAGTAAAATGAAAACAAGAATACAAGGAAAATACTAAATCTAGGTAATTCACCAAACTAAGACCAGATAATTGGTTCAAACATCCAGTACTTATTGAGTACATACCTATTTATTGAGCCAGACATTGATGTTCTCATTTTTTTTTTTGTATAAAATTAGAAGCACAGTACTGAATCTCAACATTTGCATTTAAAGACAGGGGAAAATGTAAAATCTATTAGCAACAGCTACCAGAGTTTAAACACCTATGAGGGAGAAAAGAAAGTCACCAATATCCTAATGGAAGCATATGTGTCCTGAGGTTAGGTACAGTGGAACATTAAAAAGCATGGCCAAAGAGTCCAAGTGAAGACGATGGAGACAACGCTGCTGTCTACTCCAAAAAGAAATCCCTAGAACTCAGACTGGGTAGAGTGGTCTCTCTTTAAACTAAATGATCCACGAAGTATATCTAGAACTCTCAATAGAGCAGGGGAGGATCACCTGCGAGGCCCCAGTTCCAATGATTCAACTTCATTTGGATTATTGTGTTATAAAACAATCAATGGGAACCAGCAGTTAGCGTAATGGCTATGTCGCTGGACTCCCACGTAGTCGACCGCGGTTCACGTCCCGGACCTGGTGGTTTAAAAGTCACACAGGGCGCATGTGCGTGCGTGCCCAAGATCCCGAGAGGAGAATGGAGGAGAAGGGATTGCGGCGTGACTATCCCCCCTGGGGGGTGATTTCTCGCTTTCTGTCTCTATGTCTCTCTCTGTCTGTCTGGCGAGCGCACGCACCCTACAGTGAAAATCTCTCCAAAAAAAATATAAATAAATAAATAAATAAATAAAACAATCATTGAAAGATATGTAAAATTGGGACCAGCAGGTGGCATGGTGTTTAAGGTGCTAGACACTCCCACATGGGCTACTAACATGGCTGGAGTCACAGACCTAGTGAATTGCTTTCTCACTTTCTCTCTGATCAAATAAAAATAAATAAAAAATTCTTAAAAAAAATTAAAATCATAGACAGCAATTATGTAAAAACAGACACAATTAAAAAAAACTTCAAAGGACAGTAATAAAATTTTTTTTTAATTACTGATTTTTAAAAGTTATTAGGGATAAAAAAATCTTAAAAGACATAATCAGAATCATTATAAAAGATAAAATAGTGCTATAACAAAAACACTACACTGATTATCTTTAAAAACAATCAACAGAGGGACCAGCAGTTGACGTAATGGCTATGTCACTGGACTCCCATGTAGTCAGCTGTGGTTCTAGTCCCAGACCTGGTGGCTTAAACTCACTTCAGGCACGTATGTGTGTGTGTCCAAGATCCCAAGAGGAAAACAGAGGGGAAGGGATTGTGGCATGGCCATCCCCATGGGAGATGATTTCTCACTTTCTGTCTCTCTGTCTTTCTGGTGAGTGCATGCACCCTACATTAAAAACTTCTCAAAAAAAAAAAAGAATGGAGACAACCATTTACTGACAGTGCTATCTTATATAAATTGTGTCATCATTCTGGTGTTAAGTTTATCATCTATTAACTCATAGACAAGCTAAAAAAAAATAAAGTTACACAGGTACCTAATTTATACAGCAGCCGCATAAACACTTTTTGTAAAAAGCAACCTCACTGAAGTACAGTTTACATAAAGTATGACCACAGCTCCCAAGACACGGGACACTGCAACTTCACCTCGGCGCTATCAGTGACTCTGGTTCCCCCAACCCTAGCCTTGAGTCCTTTAGCCTTTCCTAGCATTTCATAAAATAAAGTTATATTATTTTTTTAATGGTTAGCTTCTTTCTATTCCGTGTTGTAGTTCTGAGGCTACATTTGTACATCAGTAGTTTGTTTCATTTTCTTGCTAGATATATTCCATTAGAGGCACATTATTTCATCAATGAGGGACACATGGGTTCCTTCCAGTTTTTCGATGATGAATAAAACAACTAAAAATACTCACGCCTAAGTCTTTATGTAAATGCATGTTTTTGTTTCTCTTGGATATGAACTTGCAAATCATATGGTAAATATATGTTTCATTTTATAAGAAGCTGCCAAACTGTTTTCCAAAGTGATTATAAGGTTTTATACTCCTAACGGCACTACATAAGGGTGCCAGCTGCTCTCTATCTTTGCCAACACATGGAGTCATCAGCCTTGCTGGTAAGTAGCGAAATTTTTTTTTTTTTTTTTTGAGAGATTTTTCTATAGGGAACAGACACTTGCCATACAAACAAGTGAGAAATCACCCCCTGGGGGGATGGCCGTGCCACAATCCCTTCTCCAGTCCCCTTTTGGGGTTTTGGGCATACATGCACATGCAACCGGGGTTAAATTTAACTTGCCAAGTCCAGGATTTGAACCTCAGTCAACTATGTGGGAGGTACAGGACCTTAACCATCACACCACCTACTAGTCCCAATATCATTATAATTTAATTTGCATTTCCCTGCTGACTAAATGTCTTTTCAAGGTGTTTACTGATCATTTGTGAAGTGAATGTTCCTATCATTTTGTAATTTGAGTTGTTAAATGATGAATTTTCTTTCTTTTCAATATTGCCTAGATGCAAATCCTTTGTCAGATTTTTTCCTTTGATATCTTTGCATTTTGAGGAAATTATTCTTTTAAGTCCAGTAAACATTTCCCTTTCCTTTCCTTTTTCCTTCCCCTACCCTTCCTCTCTTCCTCCCTGACTTCCTTTCTTTCCTCTGTGGCTAGGGGGGACATGCACTCACCTGAGACAGAGGAGGAGAAAGCACCCCCACCCACCACAGGTGATAATCATGTTGTAATCCCATCTTTTCCATCTCTCCCTCCCACTTTTGGGTTTTAAGCACACATGTCCCTAACCAGAATATTTCTCAAACTGCTGGATCCAGGAATAAAGCCACACGGTCAACCACAGATCTGGCTGCCTGAACCATGAAGCCACAGAGCCAGTCCTAAACCAATTTCTTTTCCAATTCATGCCTTTTGAATCCTTATCCATGAAATATTTTCCCCAATGTTTTCTTTTAGATGTTTTAGTTTGCACCTATGTATACAGAAATGGCATGGAGTGGCTAAGAGGAAAGTGAATAGTGGAGATGAGTGAGTGATGTAGTAAGTGCAGCTATCACAGTGAGATGAGCAGAGGTGACCTCTGAAGTCTAATAGCTGAGCAGAAAACTTATTCATATAAAGAAAAAACTCTGGGACCAGCAGTTAGCATAATGGCTATGTCACTGGACTCCCATGTAGTCAACCGCAGTTTGCGTCCCAGACCCGGTGGATTTAAACTCATGCCAGGCACGTATGCGTGCATGTCCAATATCCCAAGAGGAGAATGGAGGAGAAGGGATTGCAGCTTGGCCACCACCCCCCCCGGGGGGTGATTTCTCGCTTTCTGTCTCTCTCTGTCTGGGGAGCACACGTGCCCTATAGCAAAAACTTCTCCAAAAAAAAAAAAAGAAAAAAGAAAAAACTCAAGAAAAGAGAATCAGTTAGTTAGATGAAAGAGTATATAAAAAATCTTGAGGATGAAATAGAAACAGCAATAGAACTGTGGCAAGAGCAGAGAGAGGTCAGCAGATAAAATAAAAAAGGCAGAGATTTGAAATGTATTCATGTATAAATACACACATACACACACCATAAATGAGCATTTACTTAAAAATTACCTGCTGTGCAAGCAACTTTGGAGGTGGTGGCAGGTGTGAAGATGTTCCACGTTCCTATAATAAAGAAGAAAGAACTGTCTAAAAATAATCAGGTAAGAAAAGAGATAACTACTAAAAATATTTTCAAAAATATAGATCTCCTCAATAGCACAAGATTCTTAAAAGTAAAGCATTTCATTCCTTTTTTTTTTTTTTTTTTTGAGAGGTTTTCGCTATAGGCGCATGCACTCACCAGAAAGAAAAGAGACAGAAAGTGAGAAACCACCCCCCAGGTGGGATGGCCTTCGTTGCAATCCCTTTTCCTCCATCCTCCTCTTGGGATCTTGGGTACACACGCACACATGCCTGGCGTGAGTTTAAGCCACTAGGTCCAGGACTTAAACCACGGTTGACTACATGGGAGTTCAGCAACATAGCCATTACGCCAAATGCTGGTCCCCCTTTACATCATTCACCACAAGATAACTTTCTACGGAATCACTCTCCCATTTCAATAAGGTTAGAATCTTAAATATACTTTGTGAACGGTAGGATTTTTAGTGTAGCAATTCTGAAATTCTGATGCAGGAAATCTGGACAGGGAAAGATATACCTATAAATACTAAATATTATTTATGTAAGTATCTTGGGCACGCACACACATGCCCCAGTGTGAGTTTAAGCCACTGGGTCCTGGACTCAAACCGCAGTTGACTACATGGGAATTCAGCGACATAGCCATTACGCCAACTGCTGGTCCCAGGAATTGTATCTCTTATGGCCAACTAGTTGGTGGCTTGAAAAACATTTTAGGCTTGTATCCATGTGCCCAAAATGCCGACAGAATGGAGACAAGGAGAAGGGATTTCTGGCATGACCATGACCTACTACAAGGCACTCTGCCTCCTATCTGTTTGGTGAATATACTCACTCTCTGGCAATAAGAAACAATAATTTGAAAAATCATTCTTTTTCAGGGTTCACAAATTTTTCTTAAATGGCTTACTAGTGACTTAAGAATGAAATCCTGGACCATCAGTTAGCGTAATGGCTATGTCGCTGGACTCCCACGTAGTCGACCGCGGTTTGAGTTCTGGACCCGGTGGCTTAAACTCATGCCGGGTGCGTGTGTGTGAGTGCCCCAAGATCCTGAGAGGAGAGTGGAGAAGGGATTGAGGCGTGGCCATCCCCCTGGGGGGTGATTCCTCGCTTTCTGTCTCTATGTCTCTCTGTCTGGCAAGCGCACGTGCCCTATAGCAAAAACCTCTCCAAAAAAAGGAAATCCAAACGCCCTTGAATAGAATCTAAGATTTACAAAATGGCTCTTACATAGCTTTCTTTAAAAATTATTATCTAGTTTTATTTATTCAGTTTTATTATTTGTTAATTTGACTAGAGAGAGAGAGATGGAAAATGAGAAAGCAATCTGCCAGGTGGAAGTCCATGTGGAAGTCCAGTACCTTGAGCCCCATACCACGTGCTGGTCTCCTTAGCCTTCTTACCTTTCTCCCCTATCGAACTTAGGATTTCTTGACTGTGCCATGCTTTCTCATACTTCTCTACTCTGCCCATGTTCCCACAGCTTGGAACAACTCTTTTCTTTGTTACTGGGCAACTTCTATGCTTCTTTAAAAATAAACTTGGGTCTAGTGAGTAACACATAGGTTAAGGCTGCTGGATCCCACATGACCAACATCATGGTTTGGGTCTCAGATCCGACAGCCTGAAAAACACACCAGACATACATGCATGCATGCCCAAAATCTTGAAAGAATAGAGAAAAAGGGATTTCAGAGTGGCCATCCTCCCTGGGAGGTTGTCACTTTCCCTTTGTTTCTCTCTTGTAAGCACATTCACCCCATAGCAAAAAGCAAAACAAAAACCAAAACCAAAGCAGAACTACCTCAAACAATTTAGCTTTTTGTCTTGACTGACCTCTCCAAGAACTTGCCATGTGCACTCTTATCATAGCACTTGTCACACTGTATTTTAACTAATGCCTATTGGTTATTTATTTTTTTCGTTTTCAAAGAGATTGTTAGTGCTATGGTTTGTGTGTCCCATAAATTTTTGCATTAAAATTTGGTTGTATTAGGGCCAGCAGGTGGCAGAGTGCTTAAGGTGCTAGACTCCCATGTGGCCAACTATGGTTTCAGTCCTGGCCTTGGCAGCTTGAAAGTCACACTGGATACAGGCACACACATGCCCAAAAATCCCAGGAGAATGGAGAAGGGACTGTGGTGTGTCCATCCCCCATGGAGGATGATTTAGCACTTCCCTTCTCACTGTCCAACCCTCTCCAGTGAGTTCACGTGCCCTATGACAAAAACCTAATAAAGAAAAACTGGTTGTACTGTGAAAATATTAATAAAATGGAAACTTAATCTGATTGTGAGAGATTAACAACTGGGGTCTTGGAGAGGTAATTAGGACTAAGGTCAGAGACCCATGATTGAATCATAGTAAACTTGCAAGGACAGGAGACATGGACATAGACATATGCACTTTTGCTTTGCTCAGGCTCTAGCCACGTGATGCCCTGGGTTGGAGGAAGCCCCACAGGAGGGTCCTTAACAGAACTGGCTTTTCAACATTGGACCTCTAAAACGATAAGCCAAATAAATCTCTATTCTTCATACATCACCCAGACTTAGATGTTTCTGTTACTAGCAACACAACAGACTAAAACAGTTAGCTCTTCGTAGCTCCCTAAAGGGACTAGTTTCTCTATGAGTTTTGTATGAATTTAAAAAACACACAGTGGCTGAACTATGATTTCTTCTCCTTCTCAGAGATAAGAGGATCCTCTCAAAGCTAGTTATTTTCCAGTCCCAATCTGCATTGCAGCTCTTACTATCTTTTCCCCTCTCAAGAAGTGGGATGAAGTGTACCCACTTACTTCCCTTCTTTAACGTGGTTCTTTAAAATGGCTCCGGCTTCTTTGATCTCTCTCTTCTTTGTGTGATTTCCCTCAACAGATATCCAGATCACTCACACACACAAATGACTAGATTTATAAATTATTCAGTAAGTCATAAAGTACATTTTATTTTAGAAAAACAATTTTATCTCTCCATTTTACATGACTGAGCTACTATAACAAAAATAAAGATAAAATGTTAGTATCAACTTGATAATTTTAGCTACTACAAAGGAATATGCAATAAAAATTATGGACTCATCAAGAATAAACAGTTCCCTTTTATAAAGTGCCCTTCCAACTTTATAAGACTAATGTGTCCATAGACTCTGCAATGACAAGGATCTCCATGAGTCCAACAAACCTGATTCAATGGAGGTCCTTTCCCATGGGGACTTTTTGTGACAGATGGCTGTGCAGGTATCTGAGAAGATGGCTTAGCATTAGAAACTTCATCTGTTTCTTTCCTGTTTTCAGTATTTTCAGAGGTTTTTAAACTTTGATCCTCACTAAAGAATTGAAAAAGAGAAGAAATGACACATATAAAGTGGATGGACTCTAAATAAATGCATTTTCTCTATATTATAAAAAATAATTCATATGGTTTCAGGAAAAAATATAAAGGAACAAGATAGGTTTGTGACCTACTGATACTAATTTGTTTATTCAAAAAATATACACTATGTATCTCTAAGGGTTGGAGGGTGGACTTGTCCAGGTTATCATCACAAGGTAGAAGTGCAATACAGTCCCTTACTGCACCTGGAAACTTGCATTTGACACATATACCTGGACAAACAATACAAAACAATCATTTCCTATCTTCTCCACTCAAAAAAATCGTATCTAAATATAATTGTGCACTATTGGAAATATTTCACTGTATTCTAGTTTACTGTAATTTAATAAAAAAGAGAAATCAAACTCCAATATTTTTAAAGTTACAAGCAGGCATCTTATAAAATAATCAGGAAACCATATTATATCACTATGCCACTGTGGAAAAAAAACGATACCATTATGTGCATGCAAACTCCTCTGTATTATAAAAGACAACTTTTATGATACATAGCTGTATAGTCTTGAGTCTGATGTCCCTATACTCCAGAAGAATACAGAAAGATTTTTAAGACATCTATTTTCCAAGGCACTAATGCTGCTTACTAAATTTTTTAAACAATCAGGACATAAAACAGTTATAGTAAGCCAAGGAATTTTTCTCCAAGTTTATAAATATGAATTGGGTCAAGCAAGTTAACAATTTAAAATGGTAAGCAATTTTGACCTCCAATATATCCCGAATTAGATGCCAAGCATCTAAAAACCTTTTTGTTAAATGTGCTTTCTTCGAACACATCACACCTTAATGCTTTTATTAGTTGCACTGTATTATTTAGCCTATTAATCACCCTTTTACTCAGTAAAACTTCTTGGGCAAGAACGTAGAAATTCTATAAATAAGATATAAATGTATATTAATAAAGCCTCTCTGCACAGACAGCTAATGTTATATTGGCAAATTTATCCTGTTATCACTAAAACACATCACAGCTTACCTGCTAGTTTCTTTAGGACTACTACTTCCTTGCTCATCATCATCACTGAAATTCAGCTGTTCCGTATAATCTACCTCCATTTGAGCACCTATTAAATTAAAGAAAGCTCAGACTGACTGCTTAAAAACATGTAACAGTTTATTTTTTCTTATTTTTCAAATGATTATTTTATTTAACTTTATTTACTTATTTATTTTAATTTGACCGGAGAGAAACAAAGTGAGAGAATGAGAGCGAGCATGTGAAAGCACGCAGCCAGGTCTGAGACTTGAACCACGGTCGGCTATGTGGGTGGGAGTCCAGCACCTATAACCATCATGCCACCTGTTGGCCCAAAACATGTAACAATTTAAAACGCTGCAATAATTTTGCCTCTTACCTGCCCAACCTTCATCAGCTTCAGCGTCTAGGTTATCAAATTTATCAAGCTCCTTCAGTTCTGATGCACTGAGTATAGATGGGCGCTCTGGCTCAGAAGCCCATGAAGGAGGTGGACCTCTTCCTCGAAGGCCTCTAATAAACAGGAGGTCAGGTGGGAAAAGATAGATAGTTTTAATGATTTTAAGCTAAAAGAAAACTAAAAGATTGGAATTCAGTTCATTTCAACTCAACATTAGTGTTTTCTGTACCAAGATATACAAAATGTTTTGGACTGACATAAGCATAAAAAATTAATATTAATACATAATATAATACATAATATTTCTTTTGAAGGTTTTTAGCAGCTGATACCTTTTTAAAAAATTCTCAAACCAAGTAAGTATGTACTGGAAAAAAATAAACTGTTTAAAAGGAATCTCAAAATTATAAACCTTAAGAAAAACACCACACAAAGGATCCTTATATCTCATATACAATTAAGAAAAGAGAATGGTGAATCATTAAAATGGAAGGAAGAAGGGAAACCAGAGTCATCCTAGGGCCATGATTTTTCCCATGAAGGAGGTGGACCTCTTCCTCGAAGGCCTCTAATAAACAGGAGGTCAGGTGGGAAAAGATAGATAGTTTTAATGATTTTAAGCTAAAAGAAAACTAAAAGATTGGAATTCAGTTCATTTCAACTCAACATTAGTGTTTTCTGTACCAAGATATACAAAATGTTTTGGACTGACATAAGCATAAAAAATTAATATTAATACATAATATAATACATAATATTTCTTTTGAAGGTTTTTAGCAGCTGATACCTTTTTAAAAAATTCTCAAACCAAGTAAGTATGTACTGGAAAAAAATAAACTGTTTAAAAGGAATCTCAAAATATATAACCTTAAGAAAAACACCACACAAGAGGATCCTTATATCTCATATACAATTAAGAAAAGAGAATGGTGAATCATTAAAATGGAAGGAAGAAGGGAAACCAGAGTCATCCTAGGGCCATGATTTTTCCATTTTATAACAATTATGTTAAATTTTTAAGAGAATATAGGATATCTGTTCTGTCTCATAGAAGTTAGCCAATTATTTGCTAATAGCAATTGTACTTGGAAGATAGAAAAATGAATCAACCATCACAATACATTTGACATTCAGAAAATCTTAATGAGCATGTACATTTGTTGTAGATTATAACGAGTTAATAACTTACTTGTTTGTTTCAGATAAAGAAGGTGGGAACCTCATAGGACCATGAAGAGGAGGATATGCCATCCTTGGGTACTGCTGAAACATCTGAATGAAGGAAATAAACATTTTTGATAAAGGGAGTAACCCAGTGATTTTATTTTTGAAAGTCAATGTAACTAGGCCTGAAATAATTTATAGGAAGAATGATTACATAGTATTATTAAAATTTTAATTTTATCTGTTAGACTAGATCATCATTCACCCTCAATAACAGGTTATTTGTAAGACCATCACCTCCACTAAGTTTTTATTTTTTTTAAGAGGTGTTTTGCTATAGGACGTGTGCACTCGCCAGAAATACAGAGAGAGACAGAAAGCGAGAAATCATCCCCCAGGGGGGATGGCCACGCCACAATCCCTTCTCCTCCATTCTCTTCTCGGGATCTTGGGCACGCATGCACATGAGCCTGGCGTGAGTTTAAGGCACCGGGTCTGGAACTTGAACCATGCTCAACTACATGGGAGTCCAGGGACATAGTTATTACGTTAACTGCTGGTCCCACCTCCACTAAGTCTTTACGAATAAAGACAATAACCAGGGCACATCACGTGAAGAATTTCTGTATTGCATTAATAAAACTACAGAAAAAGGATTATTTATGGCCACAAAAAAAAATTTTGGAGCTTTTTGCTATAGGGCACATGCACTCTCCAGAAAGACAGAGAGAGACAAAGAGACAGAAAGTGAGAAATCACCCCCACGAGGGGATGGCCATGCCACAATCCTTTCTCCTCCATCCTCCTTTTGGGAATCCTGGGACCGCGTGCACATGCGTACGGCATGAGTTTAAGCCATCAGGTCCAGGACTCGAACCACGGTCAACTACATACGAGTCCAGCAACACAGCTATTATGCCATCTGCTGGTCCCATGGACACAAAAAAATTTAAGACAACATACATACATTCACACACCTCAGAAAACTTAAAAAGCCTTAACCAAGTGATAATATTTCAAGGCAAATAATCCAAGCCTCCATCCTAAAGTAGGAGTATACTAACTGGAGGCATATTTGTTGATGAAGAGGAGCTAGGCTCAGATAAAAGGACAGTCCATAACCCAAGGGTCTGAGGGAGGAGAGTGGGAGAACGCTACTTGGAGGTATTTTGTGGATAAGGCAGAAGTGGCTTCTCAGTCAAGTTACAGCACAGACGATAATTACAAACTAAGGCCCAAACATGTCAAGATGATAATCTCTGTGGGATTTTGGCTTTCAGAAGCCAAGGTCAGGATAAGACATAAATAAACTATGAAGACAAATAATACTAAAGAATTCGACCTATAATAGGCAAGAGAAGAAGTATAAAGGAGTGCTTGAATTTTTACAATTTGCTTAAGTCCAGATCAAATTATGTAAATGTGAAATTGTATTACCGCAAACACACAAATGGTATCCTGAAATAGAATATTAATTTTTCTAAATAAATAAATAAATAAATAAATAACTTCACATTAGATGAGAAAATTTCCTGACCTTTGAAAGGTTATGTTTCTATGCTTATGCTGTCTACACAAGAAATTTCTCCTAAGCACAGTTGGAGCAAAGTCAATTAAGTTAAGCAGCAGCCGAAACTCAACTGAAGCAGCTTTCTGGTTGGGAAATATTCTACAGAACTTGAAGTTACATCACACTTCTATACTGAAGCTCATCAACACTTTTTTGGAGGGACCAGCAGTTGGTGTGGTGGTTAAGGATGCTAGACTCTCACATGGCTGACCACACTTCAAGTCCTGGATCTGGTGGCTTTCTCTCTCTCTCTCTCTCTCTCTCTCTCTCTCTCTCTCTCTCTCTCTCTCTCTCTCTCTCTCTCTCTCTCTCTCTCTCTCTCTCTTTCATCAAATTAAAATTAAATAAAGTAAATAAAAAATAATTATTTTTAAAAAAATCATTTTTTGAGGGGACCACTGGTGGTGTGGTAGTTAAGGTGCTGGACGCTCCCACATGGCCAACCATGGTTCGAGTCCCAAACCTGGTGGTTTGCTTTCTCACTTTCTGTGTCTCTCTCTGGTTAAATTTTTAAAAGGTGAATGAATAAATAAAGCTAAATAAATAATTATTTTTTAAACAGACTTTATTGGAGGCAATGTTCTTAGGTGAAACTGCATTTCTTTCAGAAAAAAGACTTATTTTATGTGGTCTTAAATGCTTAGAACTTAGTAATTTACCACAAAATTAACTGTAGGAACAATCTCTACATTCTCAATATATAGTTGTAGTTTTTAAATGCTTGTTTTTATTAATTAAATATTTTCCTCAAATAAAATCAATAAAATCAGGATGGGGGCCAGCCAGTGGCATAATGATTAAGGCACCTGGATTCCACATGGCTGATTATACAGTTCGAGTTCTGGACCTGACAGCCTGAAAAACACACTGGGCAAATGTGCATGTGTGCCAAAATCCCCAAATGAGGGAGAAATGGAGAAGGATTTGGGTGTGACCGCCCCACTTGTGCTGCTTTTTTCTATTTGTGGCAAGTGTATTCACCCTGTGGCAAAAATAAACAAACAAACAGAAAAAGCAAAAACAAAAAACACTGAGAATAAAGTTCATTGGCCTCTTTTCCTTACTTCCTGTCCACCCTACTCCAATACCTGAGATTCAGAGGTCTTTGAAAGCATAAATTGAAAAATTTTTAGAAGACAAGTGGTTTGATATAAATCATTTTTCAAAGCCGGGTCACCAAATAAGATTTTTATCATAATCCCGAAGCTCTTTTATTAAAATATTTATCAAACCTCCCTGAGCATGAGTATTTAATCATGTATTTGCTACTCAAGAATGGTTAAAAAGTAATACAAAAGAATAGAAAACATGATGGATAGTTAGAACTTGAATACTTAGGAGTTAAACTACAATCTAAGAAATATGAACCAGACTCAAAAACATCTATGCTGTCTGGATCCTAATTATAAGACAATTAGAGCAAATGAAATTTTAACATAATACTGGAGAATATCAAGATATTAGTTTTCTTGTTAAGTGTGAAAGTGTGATAATGGTTATTAGGGACTTTTTCCCCTATCTTTTTTTTTTTTAAGGTATTTGCCATAGGGCACAGGTGCTCACGAGAGAGAGACAGAGAGAAAGTGAGAAATCATCCACTGAGGGGATGGCCACACTGCAATATCTTCTCCATTCTCCTCCCAGGATTTTGGGCAAACACACACACCCACCCACCAACATGATGTTCAAGCCGCTAGGTCTGAGAATCTAATAGTGTCCTGCCATGTGGAAACTCAGGGCCTTAACTGCCATACCATCTTCTGCCAACTCCCCCATCTTTTTCTTTTAAAATACAACCTAGGGGCTAGCTGGACCTATATATGGAAAGGTTCTAAGTCTCAAAACCTCCCTGAGCAGAAAGGAAGGGTGTATGTGTGCCCATGATCCAGATAAGCTGAGACTTGAGATAGATTGTGGTATGAAGGCCTTGTTGGGGGTACCTGTCTTTCTTTCATGGGTGCTATCTCATAGAAGAAATAAAAAAAAAAACCTAATATATTTATGAATTAAATGATATATCTAGGATTTATTTAATAATCCAAAGTGGTAGGAAAAAAGGAGAATGTACAATATTATCTTTATTTTTAGATATTTAAAATTTCCCACTAACAAAAAATTAAGACTACACTAACAACTTTAAAACTAAACCAAGTGTTTGGGACCAGGAGTTAGCGTAATGGCTATGTCACTGGACTCCCATGTAGTCAACCGTGGTTCGAGTCCTGAACCGGGTGGCTTCGACAAATGCCGGGCACGTGTGCGTGCGTGCCCAAAATCCTGAGAGGAGAATGGAGGAGAAGGGATTACAGCGTGGCCATCTCCCCTGGGAGGTGATTTCTCGCTTTCTGTCTCTCTATCTTTCCGGCAAGCACACACGCCCTATAGCAAAAACCTCTCCAAAAAGAAAGAAAAATAAATAAACTAAATCCAGTGTTTGTCATTTGTCATTTTTTTCTGAGTCAAGAACCCTTTAACAGGGCTGGCAGGTGGCATGGTGCTAAAGTGCAGGATTCCCATGCAGCTGAATGTGGGGAGTCCTGGCCCTTGGACCCAGTGACTTGAAAATTATCTAGGTGCATGTGCGCGCATGCTCAAAATTCTGAGATGAGAGAAGGGATTGTGGAATGGCCATCACCCCAGGGGGTGGTTTTTTGCTTTCCCTCTCTTTGTCTCTCTCTAGCAACACAACAACCTTTGACAGTCTGGTGAATTCTAAGAAGCTACTCAGGCAGGACGTAAGAATTGGAAAATTATTTGCTGAGAACATATATGTGGATGTACTTGATTGAGACAATGCACAGTGTATTTTGGATGGAAAATTCATTTGTGTGTTGTGATGGTGTAAAGTGAACTAATAAATAAAAATAAATAAAAATAATAAAAAAAATAAAAAAAGAAGAAGCTACTCAGAAAAACATATTTTTTTTGTAGAGCTTTTTGCCTTACAGCATGTGTAATTGTTGGGGAGAAAGAAAGAGACAGAGATGGTGACAGAAAAAGGAAGAGTTCACCCTCCCCACCCCCAGGGGATGGCCACGCAGCAATCCTTCCTCCTCCTGGGATCCTTGGGAACATACACACACATGCACACTATGAGTTTCAAGCCACCGTGTCTGGGACTTGAACTGTGGTTGGCCACGTGGGAGCCCGACAACCTAACTCTTACACCATCTACTGACCCCAGAAAAATATTTTAAAAATAAATTTGTGATAAGATAACTATGTGATGTGTACTTCTTTTTTGAGGGAGAAGTATTTTGTTTGTTTGTTTGTTTGCTATAGGGCATGTGTAATTACCAAAAAGATGGAGATAGACAGAGAAACAGAAAGTGATAAATCACCCCCCCAGGGGGGATGGCTGCGCCACAATTCCTCCTCCACTCTCCTCTTGGGATCATGGGCATGCATGCACACACGCCCAGCCTCAGTTTAAGCACCAGGTCAGGGACTCAAACCTTGGTCAACCACATGGTTGTCCAGTGACACAGACATTACGCCATCTGCTGATCCCGATGTGTGCTTCTTTATTAGGTCACTAAATAACAAGAGGGTCTACCATGTGTCTAATAACCATTCTGAAGTAATACTGAAGGTAATGTGTGATATGGAAACATCTACAATTTCTATTAACCGTAAGACTTCTGTATTGCTGATACTCCTGTGATTTGTTTCCTATGGTCATAACCTAAGAAATTACTAATTTTTAGTTGAATGTTAATAAAAACAAAGACCTAAGCTTTTCCCCATCTGAATGCTTCCTTTGGATTCCAGGTCATAAGTCTCTGATTTCACTCTTTAACTATACTCACATAAGGAGGCATCATGGCTCTATACTGGGAAGCAAGAGCAGGCTGCTGTCCATTCAGTTTAGCCTGTGGAGGACCACATGCTATCCTCTTCTCCACCACTTTGAGGATATCATTTTGCTCCGATGTCCCAGCTGTGCTTTCATCCTGACCAGGAAGCTTTCCATCTGGATCCGATGAAGGTGAACCAGTAGACTTGCCACCATCTCTCCAACAAGCCACATCTGGCAGGCAGAGAGAGAGAGAAAAGAATAAGGAAAAAAAAAAAAAATCTGAAACTGCAAGTGGCATGGAAGTTAAGGCACTGAATCCTACATAGCCAACTTTGTAGTTAAGAGTTCTGGATCTAGGGGTTTGAGAATCACACCAGGCCAAGAGTGCCCCTAATCCCAAGAGGAGGCTAGAGGAGAGGGGATTTGTGGCAAGGACACCCTCTATCCCCTAGGGGGGTAGTGATTTCTCATTTCCCTCTCCTCCATGCCCATCTCTCTCTGGAAAGCTCTTGTACTCTATAGCAAAACTAAAACTGAAATTTAAATCTAAAAAAGAGGGCCAGCAGATGGTGTGGTGGTTAAGGCGCTGGACTCCCAGTCAAGTCCTAGACCCAGTGGCTAGAATCTCACACCAGGAGTATGTGCATGTGTGCCCAAAATCCTAAGAAGAGAATGTAGGAGAAGGGACTGCAGTGTGCCAACATCCTGAGGGAGCAGGTGACTTCCTGCTTTATGTCTCTCTGATGAGCACACGTACCCTACAGCAGAAATCTCTTTCTCAGAAAATAGGAACGGAGTGAAAGCAAACCAATCCAAAAACGGGAGAGAGTGAAAGCAAACTAAGCACATTTCAAGACAATGTAAGCAAGTAAGCACATGGAAAGCGCAGGGGAAATTCAGGCTCTACGGCTGCTTTCAAGGTATTCAGAAGATCTAAAGCGGTAGCTTCCAAAGTAGAAAAGATGCACCTCAGAGAGTAACACTGGGGTAGGGGAGAAAATGTTACATATCTAATATATGTGACACAGTTGGTAGCAAACTACATTAAGATGTTGGAAGCCAGGGGCGGTAGGTGGCGTGGTGGTTAAGGGCTCTGGTTGGTCGGTCGGTTGGTCGGTCTCTCTCTCTCTCTCTCTCTCTCTATATATATATATATAGTCACTGAGTATACATATATAGAAAAAGAATATATGGCCTCTCTGGTCAAATTAAAAAGAAACCAATTCTTTAAGAAAAAGAAATAAAGATATTGGAAGCCACACAGCTGACCACAGGTTTAAATCTCCACCCCACCCTTCTCATACTTGAACTTTGGGGGTATGGGGGAGAAGCATGCACCCAAGATCCTGAGGAGATGGAAGGCTAGGGAAAGGGGCTGTGGAATGACAAGGCCCCTCTTGGGGGTGTTGTTCTTGATTGCTCTCTTTCTCTCACACATGTGTGTACCATACATTCTATCATGAATAAAATAAACTAAAAGAAGTAAATGAAAAAAAAAAAAGAATGGAAAAAAAAAATATATATATATATATTTGATGCATAGATTAAAATCACTGTTCTCACTAGGTCCCTATGTCAGATGATCATTTCATAAACCCTGAGAAAAATGAAGGTGAACTGGAAGTGATAGTCTTTTTCAATTTCCTAGAGGATACATGTGGTTGCCAGAAAGAGAAAAAGAGAAAGAGTGAGAGAGAGAGAAAGGAAAAAAGTGAGACAGCAGTACCTAGGAGAGACGGCCACAGAGTAATCCTTTTGCTTCTATTCTCCTTTCAGGATTCTGAGCACATGCACACACACCTGGTATGTTTTCGAGCCACCAGGTCCATAACTTTTTTTTTTTTGGAGAGGTTTTTGCTATAGGGTAGGTTTGCTCCCCCGACCGACAGAGGGAGAGAGACAGAAAGTGGGAAATCACACTTCAGGGGGGATGGCCACACCGCAATCCCTTCTCCTCCGTTCTCGATCGGTGGCAGGCCCGCACACGCGCCCAGCGTGAGTTTTAAGCCACCGGGTCCATGACGCAAACCGCAGTTGACTACGTGGGAGTCCAGTGACATAGCCATTACGCTAACTGCTGGTCCCCAGATCCATAACTTAAACCATGCAATCGGTCATATGGGATCTAGCCACCTTAACCATGCCATTAGTTGGCCCTTGATAGTCTTACTATTTGTTTATGGTTTACCTCTATTTGTTACATGTACCCAAGTAGACACATTAGTGAAATTATCTGCTTCAACTACACTTAACCATATAAAACAGCTAAGTGACTTTGGAAGGAAACTCTGGGTAACCAGTCTCCAATTGGTCTAGTGTTAATCTCCTGTCATGGTGTAATAGGTTTAGCCTATGTCCCCTGTAGAAAAAGGCAAAAGTGGTACCGTTTTTTTTTGGGAGAGGTTTTTGCTATAGGGCGCGTGCGCTCGCCAGACAGACAGAGAGAGACACAGAGACAGAAAGCAAGAAATCACCCCCCAGGGGGGATGGTCACGCCGCAATCCCATCTCCTCCATTCTCCTCTGGGGATCCTGGGGATCCTGGGCACGTACGCACACACGCCCGGCGTGAGTTTTAAGCCACCAGGTCCGGAACTCGAACCGTAGTCGACTACGTGGGAGTCCAGCGACACAGCCATTACACTAACTGCTGGTTCCCGCCTTTTGAGATTAGGTTATAAAAGACTGAATTTATTTTTTGGGACCCAAGTCAGTCAGTCTGGCTGTCCTTACTTATTCTGGGGAATCCATGTCAGAATCCTTCCCTCGTCCGAGAAGCCTATACTCTGAAAAGCCAACAGCTGAGCTTGGAAGTGCAGCTGCACCCAGTCGGCCCTAGACAACTGCACTGCAGCCTTGGGAGAGCAGGGCAGCCAGATCCACCATCCAGACTGTACTTGTTTTTCTGATCCTCAGATACTACGGGAGATTCATACATCCAACTCTAGTTTTATGCTGCCACGTTTATTAGCCAGTAACAAATTTTAGACATTTAAAAACTTCTCATTTTATTTTTTAATAAGTACATAAAGTACATAACCTACATAAAAATATTCCTCACTATTTGAGATTAAATTTCTCAATTTTAAGTTCAGAAAGCAAGGAACCACTAAATATTAGTAAAAACTCAAAAATAGATGCAATTTATAAAAACTTATTTCCTGGGGAAGTTTGCTCAAAAACTTTTACTGTGACAGCAGGTAGCATGGTGGTTAAGGGCACTGGACTCCCACATGGGCGACCACAGTTCAAATCCTGGACCTGGTGGCTTGCTTCTCACTCCCCACCCTCCTCTCTGTCACACTCTGTCCCTCTCTGGTCAAATTAAAATAAATAAATTTAGGGAACCAGCAGTTAGCATAATGGCTATGTCCCTGGACTCCCATGTAGTCGACCACGGTTTGCGTCCCGGACCCGGTGGCTTAGAACTCACGCCAGGCGCATGTGCGTGCGTGCCCCCAAGATCCCAAGAGGAGAATGGAGAAGGGATTGCGGCGTGACCATCCCCCCGTGGTGGGTGATTTCTCGCTTTCTGTCTCTCTCTGTCCGGCGAGCGCATGCACCCTATAGCGGGAGAAAAAAAAAAAAAATCTCAAAAATAAATAAATAAATAGATAGATAAATAAATAAAGTTAAATAAAATGCTGCTTAAAAAAAAAAAAAGAAAGAAAAAAAGAAAAAAAACTTTTACTTAAAAAAGCCAAAGTAGGGACCAGCAGTTAGTGTAAATGGCTAAGTAGCTGGACTCTCATGTAGTCAACCACGCACGGTTCAAGTCCCGGACCCGGTGACTTACACTCACACTGGGCACATGTGTGTGTGTGCCCTAGATCCTGAGAGGAGAACGGAGGAGAAGGGATTGCAGCATGGCCATTCCCCCTGAGGGGTGCTTTCTATCTCTCTATCTCTCTCTGTCTTTCTGGCAAGTGCACAAGCCCTATAGCAAAAAAAAAAAAAAAAAAAACCTGAAAAAAAGCCAAAGTTACCTGGGCATCAAATGCAGATTTTGATTTAGCAGACTAAATGTAAGCCCCAAGATGATGTACTGTAACAAGTTCTTAAATTATAATGACACTGTTGTTAAGTAACACACACACACACACACACATACTCTCTTGAGTAGCAAGCAAATGTAATACTAGTCCACCCTTTCCAACTAGGCAACTCGTATATCTAACAACAAGCAGGAAGTCCTATCAAAAGTCAGAGCAGAAATATGCCTCATTCTGTATCACTAAATTAAAAGCACTCTTACTTGGTGGACGTAAACTGGGTCCAGGTCCATAGTTGTCATCATTTCCTTCCTTTTCTTTTTTTTCCTGATCCCCAGCTGCTTGCAGGCTGGGAAATTCTTGCTGAAACTGACTATTCACCTGGATTCCTATAGATTTTTGTTTAAAAAAAAACAAAACAATACAAAAAAAAATTAAAGGTTAACTTTTATAATGAAGATAATTCAAACAACCTCTCCAGGATAGAGCTCTCTCCATTTTCTGATGAATTATTCCACATTTCAATGATTATTCATATCCATAAAACTTTCAAATTTATCTAGAATCCTTTGAAAAGTTAATGAACAGCCATGAGGAGATTAAAAAAAATTTTTTTAACCAAGAAAGAGGCCCAGCTGTGGTGGCACCGGCTGTAAGGCAGTGCTGGATGTAGCTGGTATCACACAGAAGGCCTGGGTTTGATTCTGAACCAACCTATATATGTTGGCAGTGATGCTGCCTCACCCTAGCCTCCAAGATAACTGGGAATCATGCATGGAAAATCACTGCTAGGTGAGACTCTCTTCCTCTTTCTTTTACAAAAAAGCAAAATCACAAACAAAAACAAAACTAAGAAAGGAACCTACCAGATACCACACTAGAGGACATGTTTAAGATGATCAGACAATCGAGGATTTTTAGTTCTGCATCTCTTATTATGACTCCTTACATTAAGTTTCATGTACAAGTCAAATTCCTTTGCTAAAAACTAAGAATTAGTTTAAACTTTACTACTGAAATGGATTTATGCTTTTCATTTATCACACCACTGAAATACTGATCACACCTCACTATTCACCTATCCACCGACCCGCCTGTTTACCTACTTTTATACTTCTATAAATTTTTAAAAAGCTAATTTGACTAATTTCATTGACTTTTTTAGTTAGTTCTTCCATAGAACACTTTATAGACAGTTCCTGTTTTACAAGTGGGACAATAACAATCTGTTGAGGTTTCCATTACCCCTGGGGAAACAGGAATGCTACAGCTACTATACTTTATGGCTACTTTCAAGCTCTTTTCCACCAGGAAATCATGACAGAATGTTTGAAACAGGAGAGTTTGGAGGCACTGATGGAGATGAATATGGTTTCTATCAATCTATGCAATGTCTGGGTACTTCTATGTCTCAAAGATCTGAAAGTCAAGGCTCTGTCTAGAAAGTGTACAGATACAATGAAGACAAGGATATCTTAAAGACTTCCTTTATAATTGCTGCCATTGGCTCATACACAGCTTTTGACAATGACATTTAACTAGCCCAAGAGCTTTAAAAAGACTCTTTGGGAGACCACAGGTGGCGTGATAGGTATGTTGCTAGACTCCCACATAGTCCACCAAAGCTCGAGTCTCAGACTTGGCAACTTAAAACTCACACCAGATGTGCGTGCCCAAGATCCCAAGAGAAGAGTGGAGAAGAGATTGCAACGTGAGACATGGCCATCCCCCTGGGGGATGATTTCTCCCTCTCTGTTCCTCTCTGTCTCTCCAGCGAGGAGCACACCTACCCTATAGCAAAAAAAAAAAAGGGGGGGGGGGGGAGGGGGACACCTCTTGGGTGCCTGAATATATCCAATGGCAATGCTTTCCATCCCTACCAAAGCATATTCCACCCACATATCTCCTGCATGGCTGCTCAGTAACTATCAAGCCTAACCAGTTTTCCCAGCTACTGTCCACTTACCATCTCCTTGCCCACCTTGCTTGTTACTGGCCCATGATTTGGGAGCAGGTGCTACTTCTGGGGGAGCTGCAACCCCAGGTTTTGGCTGTGCTGGTGGCACTTCTGGTGTTCTTAAAAAAATATGAATCCATTATTTCAGACATTATGTATTTAAAGAAAACCAAATAAATATCATGTTTAAAGCAAACTTCTGCACAAACTACTTTGGCTACATAGTTACTAATAGATTCATCTCTCAAACATGTTTTCCCTCTGCAACATTCTTTTAAAGAAATCACCAGTAAATTCTCTTCTCTTTCATTTCTACCTTTGAAAAAACCAGTAAGACAATAACTCTGCTTTTTATTTCACTTAAAAATTTTTTTAAACATTTTGATTGTTGAATATATCTACAAATAATGTGTTTGAAGTAGTAAATACCTCTAATTAGAAATAACAACATATGCATACATAAAGTCTGGGTTGGTGAGATTAGCCAAGGGCTAAGGTTAAGGAAGCTCTCCATCTGGGAGTCAACAGGTTCACTAATGTACTTATTACTGTCACTCAAATAACAGCAATCTGCCTGATCAATTCCCATGAGTAAAAGTCATTTAATAAGGGTCTGGTTTCACTTAATCCTTGTAATGAGGTGATACTTTAAAATGAAAAGTAGTTAAGAGACTTAAATATATTTCTGGTATACTTGGACCTATAAATATCTTACTATAAAATACTTTTACTACAACTAACAAGCAGAGAACAAAAAGCCCTTCATAAAAGTCTATACAAACAGTCAAATTTATTAGATAATACTTCCCAGGTAGGAGTATAGAAATTTGATAAGTTACAGACAAAAGGAAAATTCAAGTATCCAATGGCTTATCTTATTTTTAATATTACCACCATTTGGAGGTTGATGAGTCAATTATTTAGGAGCCTAGTCCAAGCTCTGACACATAAAAAGCTAAATATTCATGAAAGGGGGGCCAGCAGGTTGTATGATGGTTGAGGCACTGGATCTTACAGAGCTGACTCCGTCATTCAGTCCTGGACCCAGCAGCTTGCGGGGGGGGGGGGGGGGCGGGGCCGAGAGTCGCTCCTGATGGCTTGAAAATTATGCCAGGAATGTGCATAACCAAAATCCCAAGAGAAGAATGATAGAGAAGGGATTGTGGCATGGCCATCCCCTCTAGGGGATTGATTTCTCACTCCCTTTCTCCATTCAGGTAAGCGCACTTACCCTATGGCTAATATGTAAATTTGTAATTTGTTGAATGTATGATGACTTAAATGGATACTATCAACACGATCCCAGCTTTCTTGCTCTTTATTCATTCAACAAATATTACCTGAGCATTTACGATGCATAAGGCAGCTTCAAAGCTGGAGACATACACTAAACCAGCAGGCAGAAATCCTTACCACTATGGAATTTAGGAAACATAATCAACTCCCTCTCTTTTTATTTTATTTATTTGCCATAGGGTACATGAGCTCATCAGTGAGAGACAGAGATAGTAAAAAGGAAATGGAGAAATCACCCACCCCCCCCCCGGGATGATGGTCACCTTGCAATTCCTTCTCCTCTTGGGACTTAGGGCACACATGCACACTCACCTAGCATGACTTTTAAGACACTGGGTCCAGGACTTGAACCACTGTCCACCATATGTGGGAGTCCACCACTTTACCATCACACCACCTGCTGGTCCAGAATCAACTCCTTAATTAGAGAACATCTGATTTCTTGGGGATGGGAGAGAAGGAACCTGATACAGTCTATATTTAAGTAAAGTTGTGATCAGCAATTTGTCACCTCTTCTACCATAACACATGGAAAAGCCTAAACTTGTAGGAAAATCAATCAAAAGTTAGTATAAAATCAGACTTTAAAAAACATGAAATACAGGGCCAGCCTGTGGTGTGGTGGTTGAGGCATCTGGATCCCACATGGCTAAACTTGCAGTTCGAGTCTGCCCTGAGAAGAAAATGGAGGAGAAGCAATTATAATGTGGCCATCCCCTCTGAGAGGTGCTTTCTCACTCCCCAGCTCCTTTCTGGCAAGTACAAGTGCCTTATAGCAAATTTTAAAAGGAGGCAGGAGGCATGAAATATATACTCACACACAGCACAACATTTAGCATATAGCAGGCGCTCAAACATCAGCTTTCTAAAAAGAAAAGCTTCATTCTTTAATATATGCTGACTCACTTTTCTTCTTCATGCTGCTCTTGCTTTGATGCCCATCCTGTGCCATCTTTTGGTACAATATTCACATTAGGGTCATTGCCTTTGTTTTCTGCTTTGAGACTTGGGAGGTTAGCAGGTGGAGGCATACGCCGTGAAATACCAACTTTTCCGAGACTCTGTAATCCATGTCGAGCTGCAACTAAAGGTCAATAACATCAACTTTCTTAGAACATCTATTTTATTACCCATTTTACTCTTCAAGTAATACAGAAAAACAACAGGAATTAATGAAAAGGCGTGAAAAGCATGCACCTTCTCTAATCTATAACTAAATAATTACTCCTAATATTTTAAGATAAGAAATGTTAAATAAGAAACACACCTATAACACAACTAACTCAATGTAGAAATATTAAATAATCAAGACACTGAACAGAAGCTTTTAAAACTCTAATGTTGCAGGGCTGGCCCCTTAGAACAGAGTTTAAGAGCTATAAATAGAGAGTGGGATCCCATATGGCCAACCATAATTTGAAACCCAGCCCAGGGGATTTAAAAACACATCAAGCATGGGACGAGCAGTTGGTGTAATGGCTATGTCGCATGTAGTCAACCGCGGTTTGAGTCCCCAAACCCGGTGGTTAAAACTCATGCTGGGTGCGTGTGCGTGTGTGCCCAAGATCCCAAGAGGAGAATAGTTTACCACTGACAGTACAGTAAGTTCTTGGTTTTTTTTTTTTTTTTTTTTTCTTCTTTTCTGTCTGTTTCTCTCTTTCTGGCGAGCGCACACGCCCTATAGCAAAAACCTCTTTAAAAAAAAAAAATCAAGCATGTGCATACATGCCCAGGATACTGGAAGGATAGAAAAAGGGACTGTGATGTGACCAGGCCCTAGTGAGGGTACTTCCTCCCACAACTACCCCTCCACTGTATGCAAAAGCTCTCTCTGAGAAGAAAAAAAAAGAAGAAAAGGGGGGGGGGGAATCACAAAGAAAAAGGGGGGGGTGGAATCACAATATATCCAATACACAATGAACAAGAAAACGTTAAATGCTTTGACATTTTTGTAGGGAATTCATTTCAAAACTCAGAATGTTAGAGAATAAATGTCGCATTTATGTCTCTTTTTTAAAAGATTTACCTAAAGGGGGGAGGAGTGAGAAAGTATCTGCCATGGGGAATGGTCATGTCACAATCCCTTTTCCTCCATGTCTCCCTCCTTTCAGGAATTAGAAGCACACACATGCACATGGTGTATTTCTGAAGTCACTGGGTTCAAGATCCAAACTGTGCAGTCACACACATGGGATCCAGTCACCTCCACCACCACATCAGGGGCTGACCCAAGTTTATGTTCTTTATCAATACTGCTAACATATAAAATGGTAACATTTTCACTGTATATATTTGATTCAAGGTATCTAAGTGTAAAGGAAACACAGAAAAGGTGTGAAAAGCATGCACCTTCTCTAATCTATAACTAAAGACGCTGCAAATATTCACTCATCTATGACTATCAATCTTATTGACTGAGTTTCCCCTTTAGAACAATAAAGCTGTACTTACTGTATTTTCTGCTGACAACAAACAGGGAAAATTGAAAAAAATACATATAAAGGGTTCTATGAAAGTATACACTTTTCAATCATAACTTATTAATTCATATCCCCTGGAAAATGTGTACATACAGATAAAGGCCAATATAAATAGAGTTAAATTTACTTGGATTTGTCCTAGTTCCTAATAGCAGTCGTTCCAGTATACTATTTATAATAGCAAAACAAAATCATGAAAAACAAATACCACTTGATGTTACTCACCTGTGGTTTTCTGAGTTTCTAATGATTTACCCTTGTAAGTATTAAATAAACTGAGTGTTGCATACTTTTTCCCATCCTTTGCTTTTGTGCTCTGGCCTGACTTCTCCGACATTTCGGTGGAAACTCATCGAGTCCAAACCTCCTGCCACACCCCTTTAAAACCAGCCTTTAAGATGCACATAGAAAGAAAAACAAAAAATTTTCATTTTAGCTTATTAAAAACTCAGTAAATTCAAATATCCACAGAAATTATAAACTATTAGAAAATGAAATCAATCTTCCGTAACTCCTATCAATTTCAGACTTCTTTAATGCTATCAAATTGTAATAACCAATACATGACAAAATCCATAATAAATTACTATTCACTTGGCAAATATATTAATTATGGCTCACAACCACTTCACTATGTCATAGAGAATGAAGGCTATAATCCATGCTGAGATGAATAGTTCAAATATAGTGAATCTATCTATGGAGTCTCTCCATTTAATGAAGATACATTATCAATTTAATGGGCTTGATACGGCTAGCATCATCGGCCTACATACATGGATAAGAGAACAATCATTCCCCTATAAATTGCACATGTGTTTTCAGGCAGTATATACCCAAGAAAGCTCTATAAATTCATTAATAAATGTTTAGAGCACAAAAAGCATTTTCTTTTCCATGCAAGCTATAAAGGGTAGAACATTTCAACATGAACACAAGGTGGATGGGCAGAAGGAAAAAATAACCTATTTCATAGTCATGGGCTTTGTAGTTTAAGAAATGGTGGAACACATAAAATCCATTTACATATGAGAATTTACTAGAATTAAATTTATTATTTGTTAGCATCATTTCTATTTGAGAAATATAAATTAAAATCACAACAAAATACTTCCACACATCCAACAAAATGGCTAAAATACAGAGTTCTAGTACACCAGCTATTGGCAAGGATGTGAAAATACTGGAATCCTCATATACTGTTGATGGAACTGAAAAATGGAACAACCACATTAAAAAAAAAATTGACAGTTCCCTAAAAAAACACCCACCAGTCATATAACCCACTCTTTTTAATTCCTAGTATTTAATCTGAGAAATGATAACATGGGAGGAGGTAGTCTTCAAAAAGTTCGAAGAAATGAATACTTTAAAATCAAAACAAAACAAACAAAAACCATGCATGGATTTCAGAAAAATTTCTGCACCAAAATAAACTCATACTAAATTCTTATAACATGCCCAGCATGATTTAGTTTGAGGAATTACATAAGAGGAAAAGAACTCTTATCAGAGTAACATATATTCTGCTAAAATTGAAGAACATCAAACTGGGCTGGCCAGTAGAGTGGTGGTTTAGAGAGGCTGGACTCTACATGGTAGACTGCATAGTTTTGGGTTCTGTACTTGGCAGTTTGAAAACCACGCTGGGTCAATGTCCGTGTGTACCCAAATATCCCAAGAGACAAATGGAGAAGAAAGGATTGCTGTGTGGTCATTCCCCTTGTGGATGCTTTCTCACTTTCTAACCTTCTGTCTCTGTCGAGTGCACACACTCTATAGCAAAATAAGTAAATAAACTTTAAGAAAAATTCTACAAAACACAAATGTATTTATACTATAGGAAGCAAATCAGTGGTTGCCTAGGGACAGGAATGAGCAAGCTAGGGAGAGGGATCACCAAGAAACATGAAAATTCTGAGGATGGGTATGTTCATTATTTTGATTTCAGCAAATGTATCACGATGTGTATAAGTCAAAATATCAAATAGTGGTGGAACTGCCATCTTCATCAAATTAACACAAAGAGAAAGGGAAGATATATCTAGTAAGTATTCTCTAGGTCTCTGAAAACATGGAGTTGTTCCTTTGGCCACACACACATGTGAATTTATATGAAAGGTTATACTGTAGACACCAAAGGAATAAGTACTGGAATGCCCCATAAAGATTACCATGGCAAAACTAGAAATCTACAATGTTACTCAGCATGCTTTGGTATTATTACAAACACAGCTGCCTGACAAAGAATTAACGTGCATGAGTGTATCTAGCACTGAGCGCTAAGTTGGCTTCCTGAAATGCGGGAAGGAAAATGCTCAAGAAAAGAAAGCTAAAAGAAAGGGACCTGGAAGTTCAATTGAAGTGTCAGCCTGCTCCACCGAGAATTGCATACTGTGAGAACCACCAGAGAGGAGCCTGCACTGCTGGAACCTATTCCCTATGAATTCTTGGCATAACAGATATTAAAAAAATAAATTTAGAAACTCCAGATTAAAAAAAAATCAACGGTACCCTTTAAGTGTGTGTAGTTTATCATGTTAATTATCTTAATAAAAATTGTTTATTAATATAAAAATCAAGGATCCTTTGCTAACAAAGTGTCTCACCATACAAATCTAACAAGACAAACTACAGCAGAGAACAGGATGATCGAAGATTCAAGATGAGATGAAAAAGAAATATTAGAGACACAAAGATTTAGTGTAAGTGGAATGTATTATAGATTGTAAGGGAAGGGAAAACAGGAAGAAGGGAAATAGGCTGACAAAATACAAAAATACGGAAATCAACACCATTGGTGTGGAATAATAAAAACAATTTAATATTAGAGTTAATACTAAGGCAGAAAACCAAAAAATCTCAGGATATAAAAATACCTTTAAAAAATAAGAGCTTAACAAAGTTTTGTTCCAATTGATAAGCATTAGTTTAAGATTTTTGTGGCCATGAAGTTTACCACCAGGCAAAACAAGAAATAAAGATAAGAATTAGGAATTAAAAATAAACCTCTCTTAGATAAAAGAGGAATGCAAAACCAAAAGTGCACAACAAAATACCTCGTAACAAAACAAAATAATACCTCATACAATTTAGGGGAAAGTACTGCCTTAAAATTTTCCATTACCAGACAAAACAATAAGTTTAAAAGTTACCCAATGACTCTCTTCCCTATAATACAAGATGGCAAGTTGAAAAAGCTGCAAAGAGGGATATTAAGGTGAAAAAATCTGAAGCCAAGAAGGCTGATGCCAGTGGCAAGGTTAAAAAGGGTAACCTCAAGGCTATCCCAAGAAGGGGAAGCCCCATTGCAGCCAAAACCTGGTCCTAGTATGGGGCATTGGCAGATACTCCCAATCTGCCATGTATTCCAGGAAGGCCATGCACAAGATGAAATATTCAGTCACTAAATCCAGGATTGAAAAGAAAAACAAAGAAAAGGTTCTTGCCACTGTCACAAAACCAGTTGGTGGAGACAAGAATGGTGGTACCTGGGTGGTTAAACTTCACAAAATGCCTAGGTATTATCCTACTGAAGATGTGCCTTGAAAGCTGTTGAGTCAGGGCAACAACTCCTCCAGTGTGCATATGAGAAAGCTATGAGCTAGTGTCACTCCGGGGACCATTTTGATCATCCTCACTGGACGCCACAGAGGCAAGAGAGTGGTTTTCCTGAAGCAGCTGAGCAGTAGCTTGATACCTGTGACTGGACTTCTGGTCCTCAATCGAGTTCCACTGCATAGACCACACCAAAAATCTGCCATCACCACCTTCACAAAAATTGATATTAGCAAAGTAAAATTCCAAAACACCTCATTGATGCTTATTTCAAGAAAAACCTTGAGGGACCAGCAGTTGGCGTAATGGCTATGTCACTGGACTCCCATGTAGTCGATCACAGTTCGCGTCCCGGACCCGGCGGCTTAAAACTCATGCCGGGGAACCAGCAGTTAGCATAATGGCTATGTCGCTGGACTCCCACGCAGTCGACCGTGGTTTGCGTCCTGGACCCAGTGGCTTAAAACTCACGCCGGGCAGGTGTGCGTGTGTGCCTGCCCAAGATCCCAAGAGGAGAATGGAGGAGAAGGGACTGCAGCGTGACCATCCCCCCTAGGGGGTGATTTCTCGCTTTCTGTCTCTATGTCTTTCTCTGTCTGGCGAGCGCATGCGCCATATAGTGAAAATTTCTCTTAAA